CATAAAAATTTTCAGAAAATATTCAACCGAAACACGATATTTTTCCAGCATAGTTTTTTTCTTCTTCGTCATATCATTTCTATCATCAACAAATTGTTCCAGCTTCTCAAAAACGTTAGTTTTGTCTCATAAATATAAAATAAACATTTTTTATTAAATAAACACTACATTAAATACTTGAAAATTAATAGCTTTTCCATCGTACTGAAAGCAGTAACTGCGTTAAAAAATATATAAAAAAGACACTAAAAATCTAAATAACTCTTAAAAGGAAGTTTTTTTATTATTATTTTGCCGCATTCATAATATATCAGTACTTTTCATCGTGATAAAAACATATATTGATGTTACATAAGGTGATATATCACGTAATGTAAAGTTGAGAGCTTCGTAGTCATTGTATATAGGCTCGTTTTGCAACGCTCATTTGACATATCGAGCGAGCAGCCCATAGCCATTTGTCTTGATAGAGTGATCACAATACATGTACCATATATACTGAGCAGTCATTTACACTGAACTAACAAAGGCTTGTTTTATATACCTACTATATAGACGTAAAGGCTGTTTTAATATATGTACCTACTATATACGTATTAATCTTATTGCCAATGATAATATGTACTTAACTCTAATACATATATTTCGCAGACCTTCAAGCTAAATTAATTAACATTTTCTCGAGGACATATTTTAAATCAATAAGCACATTCAATCATCAATGGAAAAATCGGATGCATTTACAAATCTTTACTTTAAGTAACACAAACTAATAACAAACAATTAAAAGTCGATGCAACCTGAGTTTGGAGACGTTAAATAAAAAATATACGAAAAAAAATTCTTCCGTTCAGTCCACTATATTAAATTTTTTACATCGACCACAACTCCGAAGCCCGTTTAATGACAAAAAACCTACGTTAAGTAAAAATTTTGAGAGCCGGGAGCCAACGGAGTGACAAATTAATGTCATGGCCGGCCTAGCCGAGGCCTTGGCGACGGATAGCGCACTCTAGCGGAATAACACGCGGAACACGACAGCGGATATTCCGACGTTAAAAATCATTCCCCTCATAAAGACCCTATGAAACTTCCACCATTAATCAAACACAAAAGACTCGCTGCAGAACTTCAATATTCAATGAAAAATTTTACTGAAAAAAGAAAAATTCTGAGCTGAACGTATTTCATTAAACGAAGTTCAGATCGTAATTTATTTGTTCCTTTGAAATTGACTTCAATAGTTTCTATAGCAATGTCAAACGATGACGTTACATAAGGCGTACGAAAATATAAAAGATTCGTACATAATTTGAACAAGAAACGAAAATGTTACGGAAGAGGTGTTATTTATAATTATTCAGTGCCATATAAAAAAGGCCTTGATGTTTGATGGAATACATCAGAAGGGGTGTTATAACGGATGTATTACCATCGTAACGATACGCAGGGGTGATCTCTATCGCCCACATGAATCACGAGGGCTAACAAATATCACGATAGTCAGAAATGTAACATAAATTGAACGCGACTGTCGTAATGGGTGAGTATGTGTTAGTGTACGTGTTCATGAGTCGCTAAATGTGTATGTATCACATATGTGTGTACGCGTATGTGTGCGTGACTGGGTGATGTGTTCAGAAAGAGTCTAGACGCGACCTAATCTTTGTTAATCGATTTTGTGGTTTACTCGAGTTTCTATAGGGATGTTAATGGACTGTTAAAATCATCCAAAACTTTGTACCCTGATCGAAAATTGACGAGCAAATAGTAAAATTTCGATTTTATAATAGTATATCAATGTGTAACCAAATGTATGTAATTATATTACAAACATAATACCATCGTCTTTATCAAAATCCCTATTATTCATTAGCCACACAGACAACCAAAATTGTATGGTCTCAGACAGAGCAAACATCTAACATTTTAATCCGAGATGATCACACAATCTATCCGACGCTATTTAATACAATAAATATTAACGTGATGCTGTTATTTATACCGCCATTGTGTCGTGTAAATTGATATTGAAAATACTTTTTTCTACTATTTTGGTCTGTAAATGGATATAAATTTTGTTTTAAGACATTTTGTTCTATAAATAGAAATGTAGATTTTTTCTTCGTTCAATTTGTTCTAAAAATTAAACCGGAAAAAAAATGATATTTTATTCCGTAAATGGAATATATATTTCATCGGCAATTCGTTGTATAAATGGAAATCGAAAACTATTCTTAGTTTTAAGTGGTTTTTTTTTGTTATGGGTACCAAATTGATATCTATGCATTTTTATATAACATTTATGAAAAATGCTGTTGTCTTAATATGCCCGTATTACCAAACAAAAAAAAATGGAGAGAGGACAAACATCCGGCTCATATAAAAAATCTGAACATCCCCGGAACTTAAAACCATGAGAAAATTAATATGCTGTTGTTAAGAATCTTTAATAAGACGAGATTAAACAAAAAAAGTGTTACGAGAAAACTTTTTTTTCTATTGAATATATATTTTCCTACTTATATATTTTTATAGGTATAAAACGGTGTAAATGTATGTATAGATATATGGATGTGTATAGGAAAACGACAAGCAAAATTTCGCTAAAGCAAAAGCCCTAAATTTAGAGTGCAATTTGCATGCATTTAAACGCATTAAGCGAGTGCCGTATGGCATGAACTTACGACTTCGCTCATACATTTAAATATACATATATACCAGATCGTTTATTTCAGTACCAGTGTTTTTAAATCGTATTTTCATCCGTCGTGTAACACGAGTTCTTCGAAGGATACTCCTTTCGGTTGAATCGATAATATTAGCTCGTTTAAAAAGCATTAGGCTATTCGCCTTTTACGTAAATTATATATTCTTTGTTCTATTACAAATATATATATAAATTTAAGCAAACGTGAAATCATAACTATATCGTCATATCAGAAGTATTAAGAACCATTTTTCCTTATTCTTATATCACTAAAGGTGGGACGTCAATAGTTTTGAACGTGATACGAATACCTCCTGTCGAGACTCTATAGAAAAAACAGAAGCATTGACGTCTTCGCAAAATATTACAAGTAACTTTTTATAAATGCATCACTAAAAGGAAATCATACATAATAATATTTGAAACATATTTATCGTTATGAATCATTCCATGTTGACACAGAGGTATCAGTCATAGATTTCCTAATAAACTTGCTTTAAGTATTTTCTATATACAATGTATGACAACATTATATACCGTTATTTAACAACGTTCTTTAAGATCATGATTAATAATGAAGATCTACATTGTTTATATAAGTATTCTTACATTTTATATTCTGACATTAATATGGTAGGAATTAAGATGTTTGTATATTAATGTTAAATAAACATCATTATTATTTATAATGATTTACTTAATGTGTATATAAAGACAGGTATGAATTAATCATTTAAGATAATGATTTCCAATGGTATGGAAGTGGTTCAAATGAGTACTTTGCTAAAGTTATTTATACCTATTATATATGTGTATAAAAAAACACTTTTTGAGTCTTTAAATTGTTACTGTTTGAGAACTTAACCATATTCTTTTAGAAGAAAATGTGTTCAAATTTTATTTGTAACTTTAATTTTTGTTTACAAGGTTTTTTCATAATTTATTTCAGGTGATTTCTTTAGAAACAAATTAATTTAATTCCTACATCATAACCTTCTAGTAATTATACCAAGAAAACGGCTACCAAACGAGATTCTCATTAAACATTGAAAATTATATTTTGAATGTACATCTAATTCTTATATGAATTAAATAGAAAAGTACAATCTTTTTTGTCTATATTTTATTATAAAAGCTTAAATAAGTGGTTATTTTTCCTCAACTTAATCACTATTTATTTATTTCTTTAGATAATCTTAGGTTTTTTGTATCATGTTATGTACTATCATGTATTACTATAATCTTATCACGTATATACATTTTGATGATTCCACAACACTTCAATTAAATGATAGGTCGATTTCAATTCATTTATTTACATAATTTTAACATGAAATACTAAATAAACACTTTTATTTATATCGTGACAATGATTAATTGATTTAAGAGATACCACACATTGTTTGTTATTCAATTTGATTATTATATGGCAAAACTAGAACTATAATAAAACTTTAGTTTAATTTTTCTGTATTATATGCCTACAAATAAGGTAAAAAATTAAGGTTGAAAATGATGTCATCGGTTTAGAAACATGATTACAAACACACAAACATTTATCTCATAAGTCTTAAATACAGAAAAGAAATTTATTTTGAAATGTTCAACTAAAGTTTTTACTGCTTTTTTTATTTTTGATTACTTTATGTTTATTTATATATGTTAAAGGAAGAAATATAAATTAACTGAGTAACAATAAATAAGGAAAAGTCTGTCTATATGTATATAAAATTATTAATTTAATTATAGTAAGAGTGTAGGATACTTTAATGTAATCAACAATTTAAAACCAGTCAAGATTATTAATTGATAATATTTCTTTAATTTTGAATGTTATGCATTAATTTGTTTTTGTTTTATTTCTGTGTGAATAAAATAAAAAAACTTGTCATAATGAGTGCAAATAATAGGGTAATGTGTGAAATTATTTATTTGGTATTTGAAAATCATGTCTTGTAATAGGTAACCAATAAGAAAATTCAAATGATTATAAAAATTCATTTTATTGGATGAAAGTAAGTTCAAATTTTAGGAGCAATGTATTTGTATATTAAAGACATGTTATTTTAATACCCTAATTACTGGATCCTTGTCTCAACTATAAGACATAGATATGATTCTTCTGCTAAACAGATTAAGGAAAGAATCAAACAGAAGAATGTTAGTTTCCCTTGTGATTCAACATATCTTTAGAAGGTTATGTAAAATTTATGTTCTAATTTCTTAATTAATAGTGCACAATCGTCTCAATTGTTTTAAATTAAACATCGTAATATCGCTTGGTACTTACACAACCATGCCATAGGCTCCTTCCCCAATGTACTGCAAGCTCTTGTATCTGGGCCCCACTTCGAACACCTGACCCCGCACAATCTCCGCATTGGGATTAGTGCTAGCAGCTGCTGCAGCCTCGGCCATCGCGACGCTCAACCAATAGAGATATCACTAAGACCAAATGTTTACAGTGTGTTACTGTCACAGTGCTTCGGAATTCCGATATCCGTTATATCACTTATTCACTTTAACCAATCCATGCAGCAAGGGACGACACCAAACTAATAGTCAAACAACAACAAATCAAAACAGTCTATATCAAACCTACATTATCCGTTTGCAAAAGGTAAAGTAACTCGCTTATCATTCTCGTTTACCCGTGTGCCCGACTTACTTGGACACTCCCGTACGGATGCAATACCGTTACAAAAGTGGGCAAGATAAATATATCTATCCCAGTCGCTCTTACACTGCAACATAGCGTTCGGATAGTTGTAGTGACTATAAGGAAATTTACTTTGATACTGAAACAATATTGTTTTTTGAGTTTTATTTTATTACTAAGAAAGATTTATTGGATCACAAAAACACTTTTACAAGTATTGTTTATCGCAGTATAAAAAGTATTTTTTATATCTGTCAAAAATAATTAGAGTATGCTTACGTCACAATTCACAACATAAGATTAATTGTATTTAAGTTTTTCAATTAATGAAATTTCGTGAACGAATCTTTCCTCCAGAAAAAACCTCTTGTTTTACGAATTCTGCAGTTATAACTCACAGGAACAAATGGAAAATATACCGTGATTACTAGTAAATGACCTCGTCTCTGTGTTGTGAAGTACTGTTGGTGCAATTTGTTTAGGTATGTCGGTTTGGTCAGCCAGTACTGTCGGCAATAATCATCACTACTTCCAACCATCCAGTCGCTACTCTAATAATTGGTGTCCAAATCCAAACAAGGTAAGTCTTTTAATTCTTATTTTGATAACATTCACAATTACATTCACTTATCACCAAAATATTTATCAAAATATACAAATATATTTTTATCAAAATATGAGTCTCAAAGATTAATTGTTCCTGTAGTATACTTGCTATTTATGTGCAGTATGTGTGAGTTAATTTGTATCATTATAGAAGTGGCCAATTGGCTACATTAATTATAGATGTATATTTTATTTTGTTTAGTTGATATTGCATGACTAATTTTTATTTGCCTGCAATTTAATCATATTATATACCAGACAATATAAAATTCACATTTGATATGTTATTTTTCTATTAAAATATTTTTTCTTTTTCTTAGTGGAATTGTTGACATCTTTTTGAAGCCATTTATTTTGGTTTAACTGGCAAAGAGTTGGACGTGTTCAACAATATTTTTTTTAATTAAAAGTGAGTGTTATTTTTTAAGGGAGGTTGGGCTTCAGTCATGCAGTTCCATTGTAGTGTACCATAGATAATGAAACATTTTTATTTAATTATCTATATTGAATAAGTTACTAATAACTTTGCTTTCAATGTATGAACATAACTCTGTACTATTATGCCTGTCTTTTATTGTTCTATTTCATGTAATAACAGTTTTTCATTCAAAAAACTAAACACTGGGGTTGTTTTGTATTTTTAATGTATTTTTATGTTCGATATTGTGAGACAGAAAGTCAAAATAATGAGACTTTTCAATCTCTTGATATAAAATTCCAAGGTTTCTTTAGTATATTCATGTATGTATGTAAGCTTTAATAGTATGTTGAATATTATTTTCATTATGTTTGATTTAATATCCAAAATATAAACTAAAACTTACTTAAAAAAATTGATATATTAATGACTATTTGCTGTAATTCTTTTTAACAATGATTTTCAATTAACAATATATATTTTTCTTCAAATATTTGAATTCAGTTAGTTCAAGTTAATATTGAAATAATTATTAAATGTGTACTGCACTTAAACAGAAAAATCCTATATGATTCAAGAAAATTAATGCTTAAATTTATACCATTGAATATACAACAAAAAAAGAAAACATAAGTGTCTTCAAATGCATTTATATTATATTTTATAATATAGCATCGGGGTATAAATATATGTATGTACATACTAAATGTTGTTAAATGATTATAATTAAAAAATTATAGCAAATAGTAAGAAATTGGTATCATTAATGTATTAAGGTAAAAACTATCGAGGTTGAGGTGTTTATCAATAAATGCTTGAAATTATCATTTAAATTTGTTTCCCAGTCATTACCTTGATCCATTGTATATATAATATCTGTCTTGTATCTCTGTTTTTCACTGCTTTGGCATACTGTAAGGACATATTATATACTAAGTGTAGCTCTTATAATTTATTTTTATAATAATTGTATACAGCATAAGTGCGTTATGTCTTCCGAGACTCCACTTCAATCTGGTGATGCCCTGCACACACCAGCATACCTGTCATGGCGTAAACTGCAGCTGAGTCGTGCTAAATTGAAGGCATCGAGCAAAACCTCGGCTTTGCTCTCTGGATTTGCAATGGTAATAATTTTTATTGGTTTTAAGTGTAGTGTATGTCATTTAAATTTAATATGATTGTAACACATTGAAAGTATAATGGACTTATAAGTGTAAGGAATCGGTAAATATCACTGGCTAGTTCTTTAAAACCAAATCACTATAAAATTACGTATGTATGTTTAGTTTGTATGTATATTTTAAATACAAATTCAGGTATCGTAAAGCGTACAATATTTTAATGGGCACATGTGACAACATAAAATACCTTGTAAATTGTAATAGCAATGTGTATGAAATTACTAACACTAACGACCGATTTAACCAGTTCTGGACGTCCTAAAAAATTTATTATCTAGAACAAACATAATTTTTGATAACACAGTTTTTCTATTTCAATATTGGACAGTATTAATTATGTTTCTCATTTATGAATTAGGTAATTAGTCCCTTACAAAAACTACATGCATGGAAATTTATTTTGATGATGTAAAATTAGATTAAATGTAAATGTCAGATATCTGTCTAATACTTTATTTGACACAGTAAAACCTCTTTTAAAAATCTATTAATGGAAGTATACAATTTATTAAGTTTATTAAAAAATATTCTAGTTAATTTGTCTATGGGAGATAGAACGAATTTCAATTAATTTAATGTTTGACGACATTTTAAAATTCGAATGTGACATTTTACACGGGCAAACAATGGTTGGTTTATTTCAAATTGTGAAGAATACTTTTATTTGTTTTCAGTAAAATTGATTTTGCTATTAGGCGAAGTGCCTTTGTTTAATAATTTTCTTAATGAATGGGGTTCCATAATAGGAAACGTATCGAGAATATAAATCACGGACCCTTTTAGCTCCCCAAGAGCTAAGTGTTTTGAACCCCATTATTGAATATGCCCGAATATAAACTACTAGCAAACATTTTGTTCATGGCCTTACATAATTATCGATGTATAGCACGCCCTAATCTAATCTCACATTTCTAATCATAAAAGAACATCTTGATTAAATTTCTGATAAATAAAAATGGTTATTTATTTTTATTTAGCAATAACTTTTTTCGTTTACCGTAAAGTAACTTCTATTTTTCTCGTCCTCGTTGACACTTCGTTTATTTTACCTCAGCTAGAAAAGGTTTTCCTATCATGATTGAGTACGGAAAAGAAATGTAGGCATTTGTTTTGCTACTGTCTTAGAACTTTCAAGTATCAAATAAAAAGTGAGATACCATATTAAATTTCTTCAATCTAAATGCTTTGCTGTTTTAAGGCTTAGGGATATATATATACTTAAGGCCGTTAAATGTGCATTAAGTAGAATGTACATATGTGTGTCAAAGCATTGATGAGTGGGGTTGATGTATCTATATCACTTTGCCAGCGACTTCCATTTCCAAATTAAAAAACAAATCGTTCTTATAACTTTTTTTGTATACAAGATATGGCAGACGGCATTAATTAGTTATTTATATCTTCCATATTATAAAATGTTTGCATTAAATGTTACACGAGAGTGTTCCTCAAATCGTTTCTTAACATCGAAATCTTACTATATTGCCAGTGTTCATTGAATAGGATCCTAATTTGCCTTAAAATTATATTACCTATTAATTTGTACAAGGTACTAGTTGTTAGTTAAACAGAAGAAAATTGTACTGTTTAAAATTATTTTTTTAATGTGTTTTTTTTATTATTCTTTATTGCACACAAAAAAAAATTAATGTACAAAGGGCGGACTTAACGCTATGTCAGCATTTTCTACCAGCCAGTGCCAGTGTTGCAATCATCAAAAGGTTAGCCGGTAATTATAATGCTTTAAAACTAATTTATTAATTTTTTTTCAGGTCGCCATGGTCGAAGTTCAGCTAAATCCTCCCAACCAGACGAAAGTTCCGCCCGGAATGTTGGTAGCTTTTACAGTCTGTACAACATTACTGGTAGCTGTTCACATGTTAGCTCTCATGATAAGCACCTGCATCCTACCAAATATAGAAGCTGTCGGCAATCTCCACAGCATCTCGCTAGTCCATGAATCTCCACACGAAAGACTCCATTGGTATATAGAAATTGCGTGGGCATTTTCTACCCTGCTAGGTCTTATATTGTTCCTCGTAGAAATAGCTATATTATGTTGGGTGAAATTCTACGATCTAAGCGAAACGGCGGCTTGGTCTGCCTGCGTGGTCCTTATACCAGTTATGATAGTGTTCTTAGCGTTCGCAATACATTTCTACATGTCCCTAGCTACGCATAAATACGAAGTTACCGTGACCGGGATCAAAGAATTAGAATTTCTCAAGGAACAAATCGAACTTGGCGATCAAGACTCCAGGATGAATAATCTCACGCATTTAGACCAAAACAGGATCGTATGATAGTTACTTAATACACAAGTAGAGTTATATTCCTTATAAAAAATTGATTACACAATATTTTGTGATATTTTTATGTTTTGAGCATTTTCCACGTTTGTAATTTGGATAAGGTATAAAAAATGACAAATAATATGGTCTTCAAAGAGGCCTTACTTAACCTAGCTAGTGTTAAAATATTTCAAATTAGGTTTATATCAGAACCAAAAAATTTTGACATTTTTTAATGCGTCTTTTTTGTAGTTTTAGGTAGTCATTTTACTAACAAATTGTATCTCCTACATACTTTATAATATAGGTACCAAATAGAATATATTTTCGTTACATCTCGGAAAGTAGTGGTTTTGATAATTGGACCGTATTTTTGGGATGATTACGTCAACTTAAATTGTAAATTTTAGCGATTTTTATTATCATCCGCTATATAAATATATCAACTTAATAATTGAAGAACGTTAAAAAAGATATTTAAGTAGGCTGATAAAACTGGTACCTACTAATGTACTGTAGTATTTTTTTTATAATATAAGAAGTTCATTGTGGTCACTATAATTCTAATATAGCCCTACCATATTATGTGTTTGCAACCAAGTCCTATATGTTTATATAGAAATGCACAATACTATTAAGAATATTAATTTCTTTTTGTACCTGTAAATGTTATTTTTCACATCTTAAAAAACATAGAATCTCAGTTAGTTTTGCATCGTATTTTTAAAGATTGCTCAAAACTTTTTTATTCTTAGGACGTCTAAGTAGTATTAAGATTTGATTCATTGCTGTGCGCTCTGAATATTCATAACCCAATATTGAATCCATCGGCAAATAGATTGATATTTGACGATCCAATACTATTGGTTATCTGTCGTACCGCATAAATCGTTTTGCGGATATGAAATACAAAAATAACATTGAAAAGTTTTATTACATTTTTATTTTAGAATAGGTTTTTAAAGTACTTATATCAAATATCAGAACAAGGTTTCTTAATGGAGAACCTATAGGTATGTACTTCTTGAAAAGCAGTAAGTTATTAAATAATTAACAATTATTTAATAAAAAAATGACAGGAAATCACAAGTATCTATATATAAGTAGATGTATATAAAATATGTAAAAGAACGGTTGGAAGCTTTTATCAAATACTGTACTAAAATGAAATTTTCAGTCGAAATCGTTTGAAAATTAAATCTATTGCTAGAAGACAAATATGGCGTCACAAAGCAGTAGTTTGTCATAAATTCATGCATAATAGCAATAAACGTTATAATGAATATGGCTGACATACTGTTTTATTATTCAAATACGAAGACGTGCTCTGAACAGCAGATTACTAATTTGAATTGTAATCCAGAATTATTGTCTCGAATTCATTTGTGAAACGTCTGAGCTCTCCAACTATATAACTACTATATATTTATGATACATTTTTTTTGCTCATACATTTTATATTACTAAACATTGTAACTATTGACTACTTATAAGTGTTACTTAAAGAAATCAACATGTGATATGAATATTGCATAGAATAAAATGTTATTTATTTCCATCATATCCAATATAAATTTAATGTAAAAAAAATACGTGTTTTATTGAATTACACCATCTGATCAATGCAGTACAATAATTTTTTGTCTATATCACCAATCTTTTGTTTCAACCAAAATTCACTCTTTTCTAAAATACTTTGTGAATCTTGAAGGGTTTCCTGTGAACAAAAAATTAAATACATTAAAGGAATGAAAATATGTAATAGTAATTTTATTAGATCAACAATGCAACAGAATCGATAATTACGCCTGTCCAAGTACTGAATTTATTCTAGTTTAAAAATTTGTTTGTTTGATTTTTTTATTTTTACCTGTGGTACAACTTTTACCTGCGGTACAACTTTTACCTGAGGCACGATTCTTACCTGTGGTATAGGATAATCTGTGGGTAGATCACAGAACTGTCGTATAATGATGTCACTCATTTTAGACCGTACACACGTGTCTTGAACCCAACAGCCCTCTTGAAGCTGGCCGGTGTGCATGTGATAGAAACGGCCGAGACCGTGTTTAAGATCGCCCGACCAATGCCCTTCGTAGCGGTTACCATTTGCTGTGAAAAATTTATATTACGTGTATATAATTACGAGTACCTATTACTTATAAAACAGGATTTTGGTTGTAAAAAGTATTTTTTTTTAAATTCCAATCTTACTGGTAGCAGTTTTTTAACTAGAATATACCTTGGACGAACATTCCCAGACCTTCCTTTTTGTTTTTCTGCCAGTAACCAACATAGAATGTGCCGTCGGCGTACCACATTTTCCCGTATCCATGACGATACCCTTTCTTCCAGAAGCCGAAATAAACGTCCCCATTCTGGTAATACCACCAGCCTATACCTTCAGGCTTGCCTTTAACCCAGTCTCCGCGATATTCGAGACGAAATGTTCCGTTTGCTTGTTTGTTGCTGAGAGAACCATAACCATGTCTGCGAATTAAGCACTACCAATAAAATATAATAGATTTGGACATTATATATTTGATAGCTGACATTGGCCAGCTAACAGATAGAATGTTCGAGAAACATTTGATAAGATATTTTTAATTTATAACATTTCCGAAAAATGTACGTTATATAAAAAAATACCTGAAACCCTTAAGCCAATCTCCTTCATATAATTTTCCAGTTACAGTCAAAAATAGTCCTTTACCTGAAAAACATTTAATTAATATGCCCTTTAGTGTTATAGACGAACATAATACTTAGTAGTAATAAAATAATTGCCACTCTTGTATAATAACATATTTCCACCTTGTTTTAAGTCATTATTCCAATCTCCAACATATTTATCAAATCTTGATGTGAATACTGCGTGATGAACACCATTTTTAATACTTTTTTTCTCGGCTGCTATTAGTAAAGGCGTAAAAGTTTTTGGTTTGTGATAAAAAGGCATGATGTAGAAAATTTGACATAACTTACTTTTTTAGGTGGGCGAAAAGAGATTATTATTAAAACAATGTTTTGCTTTTACGATAAGATTTTTTTATGTCAGCGGTTGTTGTAACTGACACTTGAAACGGCTTTAATATTTTCAATTAGATTATTATCAATAAAAGTAAGTATTTTATTTTTGATATAAATAGAATTTAATGTTTTCTATAAGTATTCCTATATTTATGTATTATGCCTATATCTGAACTGAAGTATTTATCTAGTATTTGTTTTTGTGTGGGTAATTATGTGTTTTATCAAAATGTTATACTTAAAATTCTTGTTAAAAATTCTGGGCAACCAAGTCAGCTCGAACTTCTGTAATACACTTTTCGAAAAAGACGTGGTAGTGAAGATGTTTTTATTTCTTCTATAATAAAAAAATATTTATTTGCCATTCTTTCAGTCCAAATACTACAAACATCTCAAAACATCAGATGCTTTTCAGTTCTAATGCCTTAATTTCATATAGAATGTTTTAAAAACTCTCTCATTAAAAGAGAAAGAGATGGAATTTAAGTATAAGTATAACTACATCAGAAAATACATATATAAAAATGGTGATTAAAAACCAGCATTCAAATAATTTAACTTATTATATTAATTGTTAAGTGAACAATGGCAAGCATGACTTCATTTTTATATACAAATGTCCTTGTTTTTAGAGCAGTTTATTCTTTTCTAATAAATTTAACCAAAATTTAAATCTGATTTTGAAGAATCTTCATATTTATTGTGAGAACTAGGAATATTCGAGATTCATTCAAATTTCTCATCGTTGTTCGAAAACATAAAAGATTTAAAAATTCTACAAAACTTAAATACGGTCGGAAAACTATTATTAGGTATCCGGTAGTCATTCTCAACTCTATGAGACTTTAGGCGCAATACACGTAAATTGTTAAAAGCATTTCACTAAAAATCATATATACAGATGTGTATGAACGATTCCAAATGCAATTTCAGTGTCAAAAATATAAGTAAATCTCGTTTGTAATTTACGAATAGCCCGTCTCCACAATCATTTTATACACATTCTCTATTCCATTCCACAAACAAGCATATTATGTCGGTCTTGCAAAACAAATACTCTATCCCTTTATAGTTTATGACAATTAACCATGAATTGGGTTTTTGAATTATTTTTTTTTTTTGTGATAAATGGAAAGATCATATATAAGTTTAATAACAAAACTATTTTTATTTTATTTTTTTTTGCAATATTTAAAAAGTTATTTCAAAATAAAAATTAAATTTTAAATTCAGTACCGAAGACAAGCCGACAGCTCGTGAATAAACCCGAGCGCGTGTGACGTCACAATGTTAGTTTTTGCTCATTGTAGCATACAGAGATATAATAATTAGTACAGTGTTTTGAGTTTTTATCTAGTAAATTCTGTTGGCATTGTTAAATAATCAAAAGTTTTGTACCATTATGTACAAAGACTACAAAAACAACTCCTGAAAAAATGTTTTTAAATGTTCCACAAGACGAAAAACGTCGAAAGAAATGGTTTCAAGCAGTGCATCGAGATTATTCAAAAACAAAATCATTTTTTTTTGTTGTGAAGATCATTTCGTTGTAAGTTTTCATAATAGTATTGTTATTAATTATTATTTATCTAAGTGTATAAATCGAATAAGTATAGTTCAATAATTAATTTTTTTACCTGGGCTCCAAATCATAACCTTTAGAATCGTAGCATTAAAAAATTTTAATTGATAATTCAAAGCGATTAAATAGTAAATCTATATATATGTTTGTCTAATAATTGGACTTCAATTAATAGATATTTTCATAATTTTATAACATTCTAGGTTCTGTATCAGACTACATTTAAATTTTTAAAGTACATATATGTCATTTTGGTTTTTTTATAATGTTATAATAACATTTTATTAATAATGATTTAATGAAATAATTATTAATTATATTTAATAGAGAATAAATACTAATTTTCATTTAGAATAGTATTTTTTGACAGACTTACCTTGATGTCTTAGCACCTCGAACTTCAGCAAAATTAAACCGCACTTTTTAAAAAATTAGTTATCATAAAAATATATTAACATCAGGAATATTATCCGATTTTGCTTTTATAAATCCTTTATCACACATAGTCGAAATAAACTTTTCAAATCGTTTTTCACTAATAAATTTGAGATATTTTTATCAAGTTAAAGATAATAGCCATAAACACTGTACTATTATGAAATTGCTTTAACATTATGACGTCACAAGTATGCTGACCAATCATGGCGCGTTTACAGTCACGTGATATATTTTTGAATTTTATCAATTTTTAATTGTTTATAATTAATTTAAAAAATATATTTCAAGTTTTTTGCATTAAAAATCCAATATAATTAATAATAAAGTTTTAAAATACATAAAAAAAATCAATACTTTTTTTTTTTTCAAAAACCCAATTCCGTTCGAAACCTTGGTCATCAAAAATTTTTTATTTTTACAACAAGTAGATACGCATTAATAAACAAGAACTTTCAGCTGCGAACTATCAGTCACTATTTCAGGAATAATAAAAAGTTTCAATAAATTTAAATATTAATGTACTTTTTTAATCTGCTAGCTGAGGTGGACTATCCATAGGGCAAACTAAGCACGTGCCTAGGGACGTGTTGTTAAAAGGGGCGCGCGAGCTCAGAGTATTTAAATAAATAATGGAAATAACATATCGACGATTAAGAACTAAATGGTGATAAATTATAAATCTATAATAGATTATTTTGGTAATATAATCTATTATAATATTATAAAAGCATCGATATACTCGTATTATTCCTGTTTGTGGCTACTGTCAAAAATCCATTTGACACACGCTGGGCAGCCCGAGCAAGTTTAATAGAATCATTTCAGAAATTCACGATGCTTTGATTGCTATCGAAAACAATCCATCCCAAAAACGTTCTACTGTATGTGTAGCTAAAGGTTGAAATAAGAACGGCTAGGAATTTTCTTCAACAGTCTTTTTGAGTTTTATTTTGGTTCACATGAACAAAATCCCAAAAAATTGCAATACCTTGATATTGATATTTGTACAGTTGTTCAATAAGCCAGTAATTCCAGTGGAAAGCTCAGTTTTTTCCTGTATTATAAAGAGTGAAAAGCTTTCTCAATCACGATATATGTACTTATATAATAGGTAGATCAAATTCGTTATCAATTCATTAACGCATCAGCATTAACTCTACCTTATTGCTGTATTTAAACTAAGACGATGTTATTGACAATTTCGCGAATCAAAAATTTAGACAAATATTTTTAATGTTTCAATAAATAATTCAAAACTTATTACATAAGCTTTTACATAATCTGTATCTACATCTACACTAATATTATAAGTAAAGATTTTGATTGTTTTTTTTTTATTGAGACTCCCCCACTCTGCCTGATGGTCAGATTGAGAGGAGCCCACTTTGTAACAGAGACCTTCGTCACAAGTCAGTTGTAAGGAACTTCTTTACTATTTTCTGCAAGCATCATCTCCTCAACCGCCCACTATCACAATGAGATTAAGAAAATAATTAGTGTTACCATGGGAGTGAATGAGTTTCGTACGTTTTATGCCATCTGCTAGTTTTGTCAAACGTACATAAAGCCATAAATACATATACATATAATTCATATTTCATAACATTTTAACAGATTATTAAATAAATCTGTTGGAAATAATACAAAGTTCAATATAAATGAAATATAACAGTTTCCATGACTGAACTTTCCCCTGAACAACTGTCGTTAATACCTGCTACCTAACATTGGCTAATATTATGTAGTGAAAGATTTTTCACTTGCGCAGGTCACAAATCTTTAAAATTGTCAATGTCATAAGGTATATATTTTTTTATGATAAACATCAAAAACCATAGTCCATAGGCATAAATCGTAGAATACCGACTAGTGGATCAACTGCCAAGAAATGTAGTAAATAAATGTAAACAAATAAGGTATATGGGCCACATCTGATATCACTTACGTCGCTCTGTTTTCACATAAATATTTTGTAGGTAATAGGATATTTAAACGTCAATATATAAAGTTTAGGTATAATAAAACAAAAAAAGGAAAACTCAAATAGATTAATATCTAACTTTTATTACACTACAATATTCAAGCATTTCCATGGGCCTTCTGTAATCCCCTACTGATTTCTATCAACTGCTGATAATATTCCCTGAAGCCCTGTAAAGCCAGCCCTTGTTGACTTTTCATAGCCGAGTTGTTATTTATGTATTTGTCAAGACATTCCATACATTTAGTATCTAGTTGGATGTCTTCCTCGGAGACAAACTCTGGTTTACTCAGTTGTATACGAGTTGGTAATATCTGGAGATTAAAAAACTTTAATTTGGTAAAATTGTATGATAAATATAACTTTTCATTTCAAATATTAATAAGGGTATAAAATTGCAAACTATACTTAAAACAGTATCCTCATAAATGGAATAACGAAACTCTGTATATTTTTGTATTGGCAACATTGAAAATTGCCAATACAAAAATATACAGAGGAAATTTGTAGTTATTAAAATCTTATAAAATATATTCCATTTCCATAAATTAAAATCTAGCATACCTCTGACACCAAAGCAGTACTTTCTTCACCATTAACCAGATCTTCCTTAATAGCTTGCCGAAGTGACATAAGCAGAACAGCTTCTCGAATAATCCCAGTCTGTACCAGTTCTAGCATAAGATTGTCAATACTATTGTGCCAGGTTAAGTAAAAAGCTAGAGGTCCAAAATGACGAGTTGATCTGAAAATTATAAAGTAATTATAAGCAAAATTACATGGAATACAGTCTAAATTTGCATCATCACAATACATATGAAGGGTTTCCCGTTTCTCATTGAATAACCTTTGTTATTTTTATAATGTGCCAAGATTTATAAATGAAAACCTGTTTATGGTCTGTATGTAGTGTGAAACTGCTACCTTGGCCTAAACACACTGATCATACTCATAGTTTTAACAAAACACAATAAGCTTCCATTTTCAATTATTTCCTTGTTTTTAATCTAGGATTTAATCTATATGGAATGGGGAAAGGATTTTTAAAAATATATTGTGATACTTTGCCTGATAAACATAAAATGGATTTTATTTTTCTTTTATCATATTTTGTTACCTCTTTAAGTTTTAACAACATTTAATGAAAAATAAGGTACAAGCTAAATTGTTAAAATTACTAATAACACACAATTTAAACTCGTTTGTTTGTTATTTTATCACAGCTGAAGTTTTAAATATATGAAAAAAGCACATAAGGATGTCAGAAAACTACATTGTAATGGAGAATAAGTGGGTGTGCACCAAACCAAGGCAGTTACTAAAAAAGAGATTACACCTTTTAAAAAATATTATATGGATTGAAAAATTAATTTATAACTTAGTTAATTGTACACTTACCTAATTAAATCATACTGATTATTCATATCCACATGCTGATAAGTAATGCTCGTTAATTTCTGGTACTGCGGATCATCTGGCTCGTACTGGACACAAGCTCGGTCTAAGATATATTCATATTTCTGTCTCTCCAATAAACTGTTCAACTTTTCGGGATCCGAAAATACTAAGGGATCCCTCAGTTTACGTCCCTGCATGGGAAAATATATCTGTAAAAATGATTACAAGATAAAATAATTTCGATTAAATAGTTCAGAAATTTACTGAAATTTTAAAATTACCTGATTTAGTTTTTTTCTAACATCGTGGTCACAGCTCCTTAGAGTTCCATCCGGTTCCCTGGAAAACATTTAACATAATTATAGCTAGTTAAGTTTTGTTCATAAATATCTACAGCATATTTAAATGATAGATAATACTGAACTAAAAATTATAAACAACCAACCTTTGTATTATTAACCTGTGCTCATTTGCAACACCATGAGTGATATCAGTGAACAAATAAGTTGAAGAATCATATCCGACTAACGCTGGATCTTTAGATAAAACGTCATCAACAGGTTCTTGTACCTAGAAAGTACACATTTCATGTGAGACAACTAAATTTAAGACTACAGTATAAATATGACAAAGTTCCAATTTACTTACCTTTACAACTGGTGGCATTTGTAACAGCCTCTCAGCACTTTTGTATGCATTGGACTGTTCAGTTTTAAGTTCTTCGTCTGTTAGAAATTTATACACAGGAGTCCTTAGTACAGAAATGTTGCTATTTGTTCTTTTCCGAAATACTTTTTCGAAATTAGGTCTTGTTAATCTCTTTAGAATTATTTGGACACCCGATGAGAAAAATTTTGGAGCAGGATTTTCGCCATCTGCAGAAAAAATATAGTAAATTAAACAGTCTTGGGTCATTTACAATTCTTTACGAAACTTACCATAAATTGAAGGTACGATACTCAATTTTCTGGCAGAAATATATAGGCCCTGTGATTCTGTACACTTAAAGAGTATGGTTTTTGTACTATTCTGGCACAATTTTATTAAGGACATGATTAAAAGCCTTTATATGTAAACATTTACACTCCTAACCTAACTTGAAACTGTATAATTAAGTAACAATTGTCATTTGTCAAATTCTAAAACATAGATTAAGAAGTTAAGTCTAATTTCTTTTGCTCCTCGTATTTAAGGATCGAAAATAATGTCTCAAATTACAAAGAAATACTAAATCAAATTATAAATGTTCCTTTTAACTTAATAATTAAAATTAATTAAATTTGGAAATAAAATATATTTTGTTATATTGTCGCAGATGATCGCTAAATGAGTCAATATCTAATATATTATTAACATTATACATTCAATAAAATTATTGACTGGTTAGACGTTAACCGTTTTAGTTTTATTTACAAATCATTATAGGTATGTACTTTTTTCTTTTTACATTTTTATATTCTGTTTTATTTTAAGACTACGTCTTAAGTAATCTTTGCTTATTCAACTCAATTATCGATAATATATAATATATAAGTAATATAAAAATGATTATGTATTTACGATGAAGTATTTATTTTTGTCTATTATCATAAAATTTAATATAGTTGGTATAATTACACTTTGATATATTAAATTAAAGTTTAAGTATCAATTTTGTATATTTTTTGTACAATACTGTATTTGAAAACTGTGGCTGAAAAACTTATAATCCAGAGTTAATAATGATAAAAAGACTCTACTGTCGCAATGACATTTGAATGACTATAGAACTAACTCTATATAGGTAATATATTTGTTAAACTTTGTTTTTAAACGTTTTAAAATGATATTTTCTTGTTTGTTGTTTGCGTGAAAGTGATAGATGTTTTAATAAATATAATCATGGCTAAAAGAAAAGCGGCCGTCAATGATATAATATTTGAATTAGACAACGATGACATAGTTATAAGCAGCGATGAAGAAAGTAAGGTATCTAAAATGGGACGTTTTGATGGGGAAAACACTCAAAACCTCGTAAAGAAGAAGCTGAACACAGAAGAAATAATTTCTGATGTTATTAGTTTAGACAGTCCCCATGAACCTGAACGAAATATTCCATCAACAAACAAAACTGAGAATGGAGGGAAAAACAAAACCGAGGTAACCTCCAAACAAAACAATTCAAAACAAAATGACATATCTCAGAATAATGAAGTGATTGATATTACTGACGAAAACAGGAAAAGCTGTACTAGTACGATAATATTAAATGAAGACATAGTCATTGATTCACCAGCATCAAATATAGACCTTGGTGTTGTAGGATGCGAGAACAGAGCTCCATTGGTATCAATACGATTTAATGACAGTCGTACAGCACGTAACTATAAGAAAGTAATTAAGGAATTTATTGTTAATCTTTTAAAATCAAAAAATGTTAGTGACACTGACTCTGAAACTGATAATGACCTTGAAATATGGCCAGAAGACATAGCTGAAGAAGAATTTAAATTAAAAGAAAGTTCTGTTGAAGATAATCTCTTCTTTGTCGATACCACACCTTGTAAATATGGAAACAAAGATATACCGATATACAAAGTAAGTTATTAGATTTTAATTTTGATATCTCTATGATTCCAATATTTTATAATAAATATTAATTATCAAATACTCTAATACATAGGCTACTAAAATAATTTCAAATGACACGGAAAAAGAAACTACATCACAACCCATCAAACGAGTTTTCTCCTGTTTCAACTGTGGGGATTCACATCTTCTAAGAGACTGTCCTTTGCCAAGAAATAATTCTAAGATAAATGAAAAACGAAAAGCTTTTACTCCCAAAGGGTGAGTATAGATCTCAATAACATTTTATATTTATACCGTTACAGTATTTAATGTTTGTGATTTTTTATTTCAGTCGATATCATGTTGAAAACGAGCAAAAGTATGGTCACTTGATACCGGGGCGTATATCAGCAGATTTGCGTCATGCTCTGGGCTTGAAGCGTTATGAGTTACCGCTGCATATATACCGCATGAGATTACTCGGTTACCCTCCTGGCTGGCTAGAGGATGCTAGGATATCACATTCAGGAATTACTTTGTTTGATTCAACTGTAAGACTGGGTTATACATAATTATTTAATATGGAGATCTAAATTTATGTTAATATTATGACATTTCTCATACTTAGAGAAATGGGAGTTTCGGTATATTTTATTAAGAAAATATTTTACTATTAGGGCAGAGCCACACTAGGTCCGGACGATGAAGAAGGGGAATTGTATGAGCCGGGGTCAAAGGATAAATTTGATATAAAAAAGATATTAGACTTCCCGGGTTTTAATGTCGCTGCGAGTTCAAGATATATTGAGGTAAAAATCTTTGTATATCTGCTTCTTTTCACTTCTAGACTGATAGAACCATCATTACTTATTAAACATTACTTGTATTATTTGTCAAAAAATAAATAAAAAATTACAAGAATGTAAAATAGAGTACTTATAGTGTAAATTTTATTTATTTTTATACATGGAATTTGTCACATTTATATATAAAAACACTTATTAAACTTATTAAATTGTATACTGAGTTGTTATAATGAATATATTTACAGGAAGCTCATTTGTTTGGTCTCCCTCCTATGTCAGAGCAGGACAGCAAGATAGCTATGTTAAAAATACTGGCTCCAAATGCTATGAAGGCGTATAAACGGAAGAAGTTATCATTCTTCCCATCAGCTCTGAGAAACAATTCACAAGACGACCAGGTTGAAATGGAACTAGATAGTGGCGATGGTGAGTTATATTTCTTTTGATACCTTCCAAGATGATGTACACAAGATATTTGGTAACATAAATGTGGACATCTATTCTATAGTAAATTATACTCATAGTGATCATATATGCCAATTCGTAAACATGTCTGGATGGTTGCTCTTCAACACAAAAACCATTTAACGAATTTTGATTAAACTTGCAGTTTCCACGGCGCAGCGTAACAGTTGCATTATAGATATATGAAGTACCGTGACAAAGACAATAGATGTCGCTGTCGGTTGATTACCATACATATACAGTGTGTTAATATTTTATGTGGACATAAACTAGTTATATAATTTTTATGTGACAAAACATAATTACAAGTATTGAAAATTTTCTAAAGAATAGTAACTTTTATTAACATAATATAACTTTTTTGCCTCTTTTTTAATATCATGTACCTATATGTTCGATACTTTTCTTGTCGCATTTTCATCTGACAAAGAAAATTGTTTACGTCAGAACATGTCCCAAATCGACTTTTTATACATTTTCTACTTTTTCGAGAAATCCCTGTCTTATTTGTGTGATTCCTTAATACGACTACGAGTTTAAGAGGCATACTTTAGTGTAATAATTGTTAATAAAATCTCATTTATTCCATTCATATTTGTATTCCAGAAGTTGCAGACTTTCCTTTAATACCACCTCTGCCGGATGACGAACCTCCACCGCTGCCGCCGCCTCCTCCTCCACAAGATACCACACAAGAAGATCAGCCCAAAGAAACCATAGAAACATCCAAAGAAATTGAATCAAATAAAAACCAAGATAACATTGAGAAAACTTCAGAAACAGATATAGACAAAAAAGAGTTGGCTACAACAAATAACCAGTCTAATGACAATGAAGTGATTGAGGTAGTAAGAGTGAATGATATTCCAATACCAGAAGACGATTTGATTGTCATTGATGATGACGTTAGTACTCGATGGATGGTCACTGTAATATACATATATATATATGTTGGTGTATCACTTGAATTAAAATACTATACAAACTTTAGAATTAAAAAGTTGACAATCAGAATTTGAATCTCAGAAATATCATTTAAGTAGCTTTAATTAAGTTGTATTATTTGAACCCTACTTTGTTTTGATACATTTTTTATTTGAATTTTATTGTCAGCATTTACTGTTTTATGGCATTGTGTATTTTATTTTGCAGTCATTTATTATATATTAAATTGCTACACCTGTCAGCGTTATTCACTGTGTAAATATTTGGCGACTATTTCAATGTTTATATATATTTTCAGGATAAATCATCACTCAGCAGTGACAGAAATAGTCCAAGTCTGGCTGACTTAGAGAAACGGAAGCAAAAGCTCTTGGACGCTCTCAAAGGAGATTCAATCTCTATGACAGAGGTTTCAGTAGAAAGTATAGACACATGTGATACGACCGAGGAAAAAAATAATGAATCTAACAAGTGTGAAGGTGATAATATCACAGTTTCCACAGAAGACAGTAGTTGTGATGCAGTTCAGAATAAACCGCTTAATGAAGAAAGTGCAAAAGACTCGGACAAAGTAGCGTCGACTATGAAGACGGGTCAGATAAAAAACACACATTATGGCACACCAGTGATAAACGTCGCGTCGCCGTATCAAAAACTACCTAGTGACGTTAACTTCGCTAAGGACATATGTGACGTCATAAACTTCGAGAATCTTCCAAATTCGGTTGGCAAATACAAAAAAATATGCACGTTGCTCAAGAAAGTCAAATCTGAAGTGGATAGGATACAGGAATCATGATTAAATGCACACCTTTAAAGGTGTTGAATGGACTGCATTTTTGGCAAACATTTCTTTGTATAAGTAATAAACTAAGTTTCGTTTTTCAAGTTTACTACTAAATGTAGTATACATTATTCATATTTTTAATTGTTTCTTTATTTCAATAGCAAAACAATATGGAAGGTTTTATTAAATATGGGTAACAAACTAGTTATTTTAGCTTCTTCTTACTTGAGCTAAATTTTATTGGTTTTAAATCCTTATTGAGAAATTACATTCTAAAATCTAAAGCATAATATATATAATTGTTAAGATAACTATGGATAATAAATGAAACAGCAATAAGTGTCACATGTATAATTTATTGTTGAATATATTACAATCTCAAATAGTGGTAGAGCAGTTAAAATTAATGTGAAAGCCGAAATAAAAACAGTGTACTCAAAAAACAAAGAACCCAAAACCCGAAAAAGAAAACAAGGGAACCTAATACTAGTGGAATAGACAAGCTTGGCTGGAACTTGCCAGTTACATATATGTAAAAAATATATTAAAAATACATGAAGATCTTATAACATAACGATAGTGGAGAGACTTGAGACAGTATTTGAGACTTGGCTTCACATTGTGATGTTCACAAATAAAAAATTAAAATCGCAATACAATTTTCAGAGATTTCAGATTGATCTATAAATAGCACCAAGTAAAATTAAAAGGAAATATACATATATAAAAAAAATTAAAATAATTATTTAAATGTTATAATTACACAATGTTTTCATTAATCCTAAAATTACATAACATAATATATTGGCAATAATAGATTAAATAGCATGGAATGACTTAACACTATCTGTCAATGTCTGTTACATAAAAAGGTTTGTGATCCATCAAGCGCGGGATATTAACAATGTATAAACAAAGTTTTCAACTTTAAAATTTTTCAAACTACACGGTTACATATAAGTTAAACGACCGTCAGCACGCTATGCTTTAGGTTTTATTATGTCTTAAGACGCTATGCCTTTACGGCTATAATACATTAAAAGTTACCCCCCGACCGTACAAGAATGTTGATAGAAGATTTAAACACGCGGCGGCGTTGGTGGAGCGCCATCGCGGTCCTGCTTGTAAACAAAATAATGGATAAATTAAGACTAGTTAGTTAAACTATAGTGTGCGTTAACAATAACTAAATAATTAATAAGTTGACTTATTATGAATACAATACAATATATATTTGCATCGGAATTTTATATAGTATACGGACACGTGTCAAAATTTATATTCATTAATTAGATTTCAGTATATGTTGTAATTTCCTTAATAATACTTTATATACTATCAATAAACAATAGTCATTTAGTAGGCAACGTAATCGAAAAAAGGTAACAACACAATGAAAAAAAAATACTTGTTAAAATTAAGTTAAATAATTCCAAGGTAATGTATGCAAAATGCAAATATTTGTTTTGTATTGATTATAATTAATTAAACATTATCACATGTATGTATGTATTGACAACTGTATTTCAGTTTCAGTGAATAATTGAGATTCCTTGATATTTAGAAATACAACAACACATTTAGTATGAACATATTCATATCACAGTTGTTATCGTTTAATTACCATTGTATGTTCTAAAAAACATTACTGAAAATGTGTTATATGTAAAAGGTGTGTCATATCGCCCACGCTGTTTGATAAACGCATCACAGACTATATAAATAAAGTACAATAGCATCAAAATAGTATATGTTAAAATAGCACTATGTAAAAAAAAATATATAAATTAAAAATGCAAATAAAAAAATGTCCAACACTAGTGTTGCTAGCAATTCTCCAAATATTGATTTAGACCATCTAAAAGCAAGTCTTAGGTACCTTAAAAGCAACAATAATTGATGTGGGTAGGTTAATAAGACTATCTTGTATGTACCTGAGGGTTGGCGGCTGGTTTGGCGACGTCCTGTATAGGCCGCGGGCGCATCATGTACATGGCCACAGCGAGTGCCATCATGAGGAACATCACTAGGAAGCTGTTGCTGGCCGCCTGAGCTGGAGGCCCGGGCAGCTCGTCCAGGCACTCCCCATCAGTGCAGTATGTTTGACCCTGACGAAGCTGGGAATCACAATAATTACTTATGATTACTAACACTATCTTCTTTGCCTCTTCCCGCGTTAGTTATATACTGTTATTATTTATTGTAGTACTAGCTTTCCACCCGCATGAGTTCTTTTATATCGCGTTTCCAAGAGAACTTTTCAAAAGTCTGGGATAAAAACTATCCTTTGTTCTTTCTCGAGGTAAACTCTATCTCTGTACCAAATTTCATTAAAATCAATTCAGTGGTTTAGGCGTTACAGCGTAACAGACAGACAGACCGAGTTACTTTCGCATTTATAATATTAGTAGGGATGTTTGTTCGGTATTATGAAATATAGTTTACGTACATATAAGAAAGAGACGTTCTAATTAGTTTTTTAGCTTTTGTTGTTTTTATTTAACAAATAAATTTAGTGTATTGTACATAGTTTATCATAATGAAAAATGTCACGTGTTATAATAAAAATTGTTTAGAGGAGGACGTGCTAATTTGTATATGTACTATTGTTTGTATAGAATATGAACACTTCATATTCCATTGAGTTCATGACATCCTAGAACCAGTGAATAGTATAGCAAAATTTGTTACTGTGATGGATTTTGACCAGAGGAAATGGTAAACGCCCTAATTTAAGAGCTATTGATCGAACGGGTTATAATGAGTGACATGTAGGTTGGTTATAAAATTTAAATCAAAAAACAATCATCCCAATGGAAAAATCCAGAATTGCCAGGAACAAAAAGTGCTCTATCTGAGCCCACGTCATATATTCACTGCGCATGTCATATAAGATCGTACAGTTACCGTGGAATTAATAATTATACATCGTCTACGAGAAGCAATACTAATAAAATGTCCGGAGTTGTTTTAAAAAGAACCATTCATGTGTTTTACACCACGATAATACACCACTCATCATACTTTTCACTTAGCCTACTACATTAGTATACTGTGACTTTTCCTTTCCAGAATTGAAGGGACCGATGACTGGACAGAGATTTGAACCGGTTGAAGAGTAATAAAGTCCTAAACCCAAGCTAGTAATAACTGTACAAAAGTTAATACACCGATAAAAGAATCGTAATTAATGTATTTTTTACAGTAACGTTAACTTTGATAGAATAATGTCATGATGTAGGTTCACTAAGAAAATAGTCTTTAATTTCATCTCTAACTACAGTAAAATTACTTCTATACTTTGAAAATAATGACTTTTTCACATTTGATCGCCTTAGTCAAACGACACCGACGGTAAAAAATGACTATCTCTTTCATAATGTCCAAACTCATTTTTTTGTAGTTGGTCACGTTGTAAAGTCAATCACGTAATAGGTATGGTCACAGCCCGTAGAATAATTAAATGTAGGTTATTGCTCGATTTTTTTCTTAAAGATGGCGTAAGCTGCTTCACAGTGGAAGTCAAAACAGAAAAAAAATATATTAGAATAATAATCAGAAAAATTAAAACTAAATGATTAACTATCACAAGATTCAAAAGGAATCCGTTAACAGAAAAAGCCAATGATATTTGATAAAATAAACAGCATCAATTGGTATGATCAAACGCTAACAACATTAAAAAAACACTGTTTGAGTTAAGAAGGTACACAAATAAGATTTTAAGAATTAAACCTGATCTTAAAATGTACTTAGACAATTGTCACTAACAACATTCTTAAAAAAAATTATATCCAAATCTCATATTGGAAAGTGGCGACCAAAGTCACACAGAATCTTCCATTTTTCTGCTAAGTGTAGACAAGTTGAGAATAGATTAGCAAGAAAAATTACTCCTGACATAATAAACAAACCAAACAGTCTAAACAGACATAGTTAAAAACACAATTTTTTTTATGTCCGTGACAGTACAAGTCTTCAAAATAAAAAACACAAAAATGTAAATATCCACAAGATGTAAAAGCTAAAATGCAAAACAGACAATTTTTCAACAATGTTCTCTACACATATGCTCTGTTTACTATGATTAAAAATGTCAAAACAATTAAATATTTGTCATTGTAGGTATGATAACTACATATATATGAGATGTAAAAACGCTGCAAAAATTTTAACACATATCTCTAGTTACAACCAAAATTGCTCTCTGTAGCAACAATGGTATGCAGTTGATGTAGTATACTTACATATAATATAAGTAAAGCAATCTGACTTTGAATAAAATTACTTTCTTTGAAAATAGGGAATTTTAATGAGAATAATGGAAAGACGACATTCTAAAAGATAGTGTTAATGCTTTCAGAAAATATTTTCAAATTGACTTTACAGTTTATGGTTTACTATATTGATTGTTCAAACAGATTGCAACTTTATACTTCTATGACTGTTTTTTGATTATATCTTCATTTCAGTTGCAATTTAATTATATAATTGGATGCAGTCACAAGTTTCTTTGCTAACTGAGTCATAAACTGAAGGTTGTGTTCGGCAGATTATTATACTTATATACATACATAGGTAGATACAAATTTAAAAAAAGAAACTACAAGTCTTTATTTCACTATTTTATACTGGTTTCTTTGTTTAACTATAAATATAGACACAAATTAAAGTTATTATATTAGTACAGTGGTATATTATTGAAATTGAAACAAACTCTTCAAAATGAAAATTTGTTTTTCATGAATATGTGACATTGCAAAATATAATTTTTTCTGTTTTTAACTCTGGGACAATTATTTAAATCTATGCCGCCATGTTTAAATTGAAACTATTGACGGTGTCCAGATTACAATATGAGACAAAATAAAACACAAACTATGTAATAATGTAGAATCAGTTACATATGGAAATGTCTACAAGACGTGTTTTGTATCTGATGAGAACGACTTCAAAAAAGACAAAATTAATATTGGTACAAAAAATTGTTCTTTAAATAAAAAAGCATTTTTTTTTGCAACACCATATATAGAATGTTGTTTTTTAAATAGTAACTCTAGTTTCTTTTGGACTTTAAGCATTTGGTTTGAATCACCGGTTGATCTGTTTTTCATAAGGTCGAAAGACATTGAAAAGTGAACAACTTGTTGCATCACCAATATACTGTAGCTATATATCTAAATTACCATAAATAGAAAGTGATGGTGAATAATTTAATTAAAGCTCCTACCTGTTTTTTCTGTTTGATTTATTAAAGACATTTCAATGCTTTAAAAACTCAGAGTTTTAAGACATAGTAATCGGATGTCGCTATTTTTTTTTTAAGCTAAGAACCAAACAAATAAGATAATAAGTAAAAAATCATTAAATGTGTTACAGTACTTTAACACTTATGAGTTTTTAACTGCAGATTTCTATTGTTTAATTAACATAAAAGATACATATAAAAATTTTACTATATTAAATAATTAAAACAATTGTTATCTTAAAACAATACAATCGACAAGCTGTTTTATGTTATTTTAACAAGCTATAAAATAATCCAACAAACAATTAAAAATCACTTAATAATTGGCATGTATTGATAACAGTTAGCAATGTATGGTTTATGTATGTTTTTATCATCTAAATTGTTATGAATAATGTTCCGTATGATAACTTCGAAATAAAGGTTTCAATAGATGTTATATTGCGTGTGCAATTATTTTAATGCAATCTAATAACTCACTCGTAATATTAAAGGGAAACTAGCTTGTTAAATAAATGAGAAGACTGTTCGATATAGGATTATATTAGAGCATAAAAAATCGATAGATAATATGTATATATGTAAAACTTGTTGAAAATCTGTGCACAAAATTTTAATTATAAAAATATGGCAACGTATTTTTTTACGTTTAATGTAGACGTGGTAGGAAATTTACGATTGATAAATGATACAAGGTCAAAAAATAATATCATACCAGGGAGATCAGTCGGCGCATAGCAAGCTCATGATTCCAGATGCATTCGCAGGGATCCATTTCGTCTCCCATTTCTGCGCAAATAAATATTATTGACCCAATAACGCCTTTAATATGATATTTAGAACAAAGTACAATCACTGAACTTTTTAAAATAAATCAATAAAACAGATAACGATATTCACGAACGACGTAATAATAACACCACCCTTGTTTCTATTTACAAATAAAAAAAACACTGCAAATTGATCATCTGTCACAGGAAGAGAAAGGAAAAAATTTGTTCATTATCAATATTCTCTTACCTCTTCGGATGATCTTTTATTACGTTAGTTTTAACGGTATGCTAATATCTTTTTCACTTTATTTTAAGTGTTATGCACCCGCGTTTAACTAGACAAAGGGAAAATTTCAGTGGACGACACCTACACCGCCATTTTTAGTTTTACACTGTTTGCTTGGAGAGCCCTGATTGGTGTTCATTGTCCGAACAAAATCCACAGCATATTCACTAACCAAAGACTAAGCAGAGTAGCAACGACTACGACCTCTGTGTATAGGCGTATTTTCTCATATTTTGAGGTAAATTCTAAAAATAAATATGAAATACTTGTAAATTTATAAATATTGACCTTTGTAAATACACTGGAAGTCCCCTCGTATTGAATTGAGGACTTGAAAGTAAACATCCATTTAAAATATACTTATTTTGAAGGGTAAGGATAAGGGTAAATAAAATAAAAACGACTTAAGAATGAATAAATGTGTTATTATTTCAAATGTTTAGTAGGCACATATAAGACTTATAATGCTTTATAGTTCCTTTTGCATTAGGTAATGCAGATGCGTTCGCCTAATTATGAAAACAAAAAATCCTATTAAAGTTGGCCTCATAAAATTTGTTCCTTTAGTTTTAAAAATGTCATTGCTACTAATATAAACTATAAAGAACAATATTTCATTTAATATTTAATAAAAGTTATATTGAGACTTTAAGTAGAAAGACAGTACTTAAGTTATATCTGTAAAAGAATCCTTTGACTTTTTTTCTAGCCAATTTCTACAAATTCATGCGCAGTGCTTTAAACTCATCCCCCCTATTTTCATTATTCCTTTTTCCCACTAAAACTAATATTATAATTTTCAATCTTATTTTAATATTATTAAACTTCTTGATAAAAGTCGTAAAGTACAAAGTCGTAAGTCATACAAACCTTTTATTTTTTCATCCGTGGTCACTAGTAAAAATGACACAACAATGCACTAAGTGCTTAATATCTTCCAGTTCAAGCATTACTGAACGTTGTTGGCGCGTGATTCAAATATCCTTACATAATGGATATGATTGATAATGAAGCCGGTTCAAGAAAGGGAAGTTCAATTTAACAGTGTTTAGTAAGCGTTTTTTATTTTTAATTAAATATTAAAAATTACTTCGTTCAGAGGACAGTTAAGTTTGTCAATTATTATTAAGGGGTTAAGAAACTGATTTCAAAAGAAAATTGTCAAAGTTTTTCTAAACTTACATTTGGCATATCCTAAAGAAATAAGGATTTCAGTTTTATTTAATTAATATACAAAGTCAAATATTTAGTAAAATTTCATTTGGTATAGAACGAATTAACCTATTTAGTTTCTTTAACCGTCGAGAAAATTATTTTGACTAGAAAGAACCTGATTGAAATCATTCCTACCATATATTTTTAATACAAAACTAAAGTAACGTTTATCTTATATCTGAAACAGATATAAGATAAACGTTACTTTGAGATAAACAGTACTTTGTTTTTTTATTATTATTATTTACATGTAAAGGTGAATAACTTAAGTGTTACTGACTATGAGAGGTTTAGGTTAGTTAACTCAATGGTTCTTACTATATTAAAACCTTTATAACATACGTAGTGACTTTCACACTGGTAGTTTGACACCATAGGGGTCTACAAACTAATGAAATCAAAAAAATAGTTTAAGATTGTGGTTCCTAAAGTGAATTTTCACCAAATCCTCACCACATGTCACAGCTGCTTTATAACCTGATAATAAGAACCAAAATCTATCAATTTTGCTTTTTGGTCATTAAGGATTAATTTGTTATAAGGTAATTAATTAGCTTGCTCAAAGTAAATATGTACCTAAAAATATATCCAAATCCAGCTAAGTCAAACCAACTTTCTACTATTTATGGATACGTTACCTACGGATAGAATAAATTAGGTAGTACTTTCACTTAAATATTTATTGCTCCGCACTCGTAACAGAATCCCCTGTCTAACACTTTCATCCTATTCATAATATTCAAAGGTAACATATTTAGCTCAGGCTAAGTTATAATAACATAGAGAGGGCGCTAGTTTCTCTCATAAGGGTTAAAATTTTAATAATAAAACACTTAACATTATGTAAAACATGCTAAGGCTCTAATTATAAATTATAAAACCAATTGTTAAGTATTTGGAAATTTAAATTACTGTACAGAAATATTATTAACATTAATTTACACTATTATAATAAATATGTAGATGGCACTAGTTGCCTATCATAAGGATTCCCAATAAATATTAGAATATAAATAAGATTATAAATTAAAAATTAGTTTTAGCAGCTTTATGTCAACTTTCTGTAAATTGGCTAAAAGAGGGACCATCTCGAGAACTTCCAGATTACTTACACAACTATTAAAAATAAATTAGAAAGAGCATTTTTCAAACGATATCGAGTGTCATTTCATTAAAAGGGACTTGATTATTTTAACCAAAAATGGCACTGCAAGTTAGAAACTTATATTTTTTTCTTCACCATCTAAAAAAAGAGATTTCAACAAATAGAAAACATACCAAATTATTGACAAAAACCTGATATTTTGACGGGTGATTTAACGATTGAAAATGAGGCTGATTTTTCGATATTTATTCAAAATAAGCTGAAAAAATAAATATTTCTAATCAAATAAATTACAATGTATTTTGGACATCAAAAGGTAAGTTTTGACCAAATTTTGAAACAAAATATTGTTTTTTGTAAGAGATAAAAATAAAAAACCAAAAACTTGGTTTTTCAAATTTTTCACATAAAATTTGAGGTTATGTGAAAAAAATATTAGTATAAAAGTTTTAGGTCTTTTTATTACCAACAACTTTGCCATATAACATTTTTCCGTAGGACTTTTAGTTTTGCCGGAAATCGAGACAACCCATTTTTTACATTTAAATACCCATCTCCATACCCTTCCCGACCTCAGATCGCCCGTAAATTATTTTTTCTTTTATTTTTATAATATTCCCCTCCTTTTCTAATGACTTTACTATAATTTAATTTCACTTTTCATTAATTTTAAAGGCTTCTGCACTGGCCTATAAATGAAATGTTACACCACCATCTGATGCGAGTACCCATATTCCAAACTCCGCAGTTTTCTGTTATGCGACATGCAACAGGTGACAGAAAAAATGTTCCGTTGGTGTATAAAGTGTTTGTTATAAATTTAAGGATTAATCAAATAAAAAAAAGCTTAAATCGGACGAAGAAAGTTTAATTCAGAATTATTTTACATTGTACCTACTGTTTTTTTTTAATGTTTATTTTAAATCGTTATGTTATGGTTCAAAATCTTTAGTTCTCAATGATAAATAATAATTAATTAAAGATATTGCCTTTATTAATGACTCTTGTACTAATGTTCCTGGATGCTATAAAAATAACTAATATCAATACCATAATTTGTTTGATCTTTTGATTATTTTCTCCAATTAATTAAAAATTCTGTTAGCTAAATAAAAAAAAATAAGTTAAAGAGGTTTGATAATTTGTTACTTTATATGAGTTGACCCGGCAAACGTTGTTTTGCCATATAAAAAAATAGGGGTTGGTGATAAAAAAAGTAAAAATTTTAGGTTGTATGTTTTTTTAATGTTACATTATAAAAAAATAAAAACAAAAAATTTCTTCCGAAAATAAAGAAATAAGGGTGAACAACCCTAATGACTTAGTGGTATGAAAAATAGATGTTGGCCTTTTCTCAGATCTAGTCAATATGCTCACAAAATTTCATCGAAATCGGTCCAGCCGTGTCGGAGGAGTTCTCTGTCTAACACCGCGACAAGAGAATTTTATATGTATATAAGATATTGTATAAATGTTTTTGAATTATATTATATTATATAAATGATCATTTTGTATGATATCAGATAAATTATAAAGATAAATGCCTAACAAACTATAATGAGACAGAAGAAGAGAAAATAAGGTGAAAAATAATCATTTCACTACAAATACAACTAGCTATGAGTACGAATTGTTAATGGCGACTAAATAAAATGCAATATAGGAAGAAAATTTTCATAAATTAATAAATGGAAGATTGAAAACTTTTAAATTGCCTAGGTAACTAAAACCAAACAGTATTAAGACATTTAATTAATTGATTCATAAAACGTAATAAATCCTTTTAAACCTATTATATATAAACGCTGCTTTTAATGTTCTTATATCTTTTTTATATAATATATAGCTTTGTATAAAAATAAATGAAAACCTTCATTTTCAAAGGACGACGAAAAAGCAATAATACTTTGTCAGAGTTAATTTTTGGATTGTCAAATAAATATAACGTTTGAACAATATGAGGATTAGTAAAAAAGACATTCATTAGGTTTTACGGAAGAAAATAATAGTTATATAACAAAAAAATATTAGATTATTACATCATACGTATCAACTGAAGGAATGTAATATAAAATACAAATTAAAAAAATATTTTTTAAATAAATTACTCAAATAAAAAAATCTAAAATATAAATAAAAATAATTAATCGAAAGAAATATTGAAAGAATATGTACCTGTATTTCAAAATTATACTTGCTTATTATTTTTTTAATTACATGTTAAAATTGTACAATAGATAAAGAGATAACGCACGACAAACGTACAAAACTGTGATTATGTATATTGAAAAATAATAATCAGGTTCCATTTACTTTGCATATGTTACTTATTTGTTAGATTGTGCATACTATTTTTATATCTTTAGTTAATTTTATTAATCTATTTTGTCATACTCGTATTATAATACTGGCTTGATGTCTTTTATTGTTTAAATACATTAAGTACAAAATATAAATGTATTGAGATGTCAATGTAATTGTGAGTTAACGACGGTGAATTCCAGTGTACGGAAAAAACAAAATTGACTTATGAGACACTGAAAACTTAGACATAAATGTAAAAAAATAACAACATAGGTAATTGTAAAAAAAAAACTTTTAGATAAAATATTTATTTAGTAACAATATTAAACCTAATCTAAAAATCTTTTCCGCCGTAATCACAGTAGCTGCAAAGTACGTGGGTACGTGGGTAAAATGTAGTTTAAAATAATAAAATACTCATAGTAATAAGAAAAGTTAAAATTAAATCAGTTGTGGCCTAGTGGTAAAAAGGCCCGCCGTTTCGCGGGTTCGTTCCTGGCAAGTACCAATGTGATTTTTCCGAATCATATGTACTTTCTAAGAGTATTTAGACATCACTGATAAATGCATTCCCAAAGAGGGTTGATGTCAAGCAGGCGGTCGGTCGTAAAAACAATTAGCCAAAACTATTCACAACATGTAAGGCATACCCTGGCTAAAGCTGGGAAATTGCCAGTTAGAAGAAGACTCATAGTAATAAGAAAATATATAATCTTATTTATATGAATACTTGGAACTCTTAGATATCATTAACATTTCTCAATTTAGTTTAACATTTGTTTAAATTAAATTTAGGTATGTATAGTAAATATTAAGAAGGAGTAATATACCTAGAGAAAGAAGTGAAATGTTAAAAACATTAAACAATAATTTATTTATAAAATAAATAATATATCAATAGATATTTATAGTTAAAGATCCCATGACATTGTTAGAAAGATGTCAAAAGATCCTGGAAATTTGCTATAGCTATGACAGAGAGTACCTACCTAATTCTGGTCATATTAATATTTTTAATTATAATATGATGAATAAGGATATATTATATTAGTGAAGATAATGATATTTAATACTTTTACGAGTATCTATTCATTTAAATAAAACGAATATTTTCGGATTAACAAACGGATTTTTTTAAATACCTAGGTAATTTAGCGATACATTTCCGTTTTTTCAGTTACTATGCAGTAACCGTAATCACGGACAGACGAAGTAAAAATATTTTTTCATAATAAAACATACCATAGTCTGAAAATATTAGTTCTATTTTAATGGAAGATTGTTAGGAGTTAGAACTTAGATATAATATCATACAAAAAGTAGCAAAATAGTAAACGATAAATGTAGAGATTACTGATAGCATTGGAATTTTTTTTATATAACGTTCTAACCTTTTTATCCTTTGTAATAAGGTTTAAAATGCTGAATGTAACTATTAATTTTTATGTTATTAATTACAAGATCTCATTATGACAACTTTAGTTGGTTATATCAAAAGTAACTGCTGGTAGTAAAATTCACACACACAACCTTACACTACATATTATAAGTGTATTTGATTTTTTAACATTAGTAGTTTTTCAGAAAGCTGCTATGGCACGTTTGACAAGTATTGAAAAATATTGAAGTTTCTTATTATTCTTTTACATTTATTTTTAATCACTCTAAATAAATAAAAATTGATTACATAGTAATCCGACAAAGTACATACATAAATATATTTTTCTAATACTTTTTAATATTTTTAGTCAGAGTTCCGCATCCCTTAAAACCTTATCCCTACTAATATTATAAATGCGAAAGTAACTCTGTCTGTCTGTCTGTCTGTCTGTCTGTCTGTCTGTCTGCTACGCTTTCACGCCTAAACCACTGAACTGATTTTAATGAAATTCGGTACAGAGATAGAGTTGACCTTGAGAAAGAACATAGGATAGTTTTTATCCCAGACTTTTGAAAGGTTCTCTTGGAAACGCGATATAACCGAACTCCACGCGGCGAAGCTGCGGGCGGAAAGCTAGTTATATATAAGCCTTTCCAATTTATCTACAAATTACAATAGTTTATATTTAGAGTAGGTATAGTGTCAAGAAATACATTTAACACTCCGTATCATCATCATCGGCCTATCAGCGCCTAGTGCAGAGCAAAGGCCTCTTTCTCACATGGAGAAGATTTGAGCATTAATCACCACGCTTGCTCCAGACGGGTTGGCGATTTCAAACTTATAATTTAAAATATTATATCCGCTCCGTATGCTAGCTACGGTTTAACACTACGGTAGGACTTTGTGATATCTAATCAAATATCGACAATGACTTAAAATTTCAAACTTATGTTGTTTCCTTTTCAAAGTAAGAAAATATTGTTTATGGCATATTGGTTTATTAAGAATTTTTCGTTAAGAAACATCGAACTTTACTATGGACACAGCCAAAGCCTGTTTTAATCCATATTTCTACTGTTTCCGTCTGCAGAACAAGGAATTGATGTTTCAACATATGTAGGAAATTGATATAAAACGTATATTCTTCAAATTTTTAAGATCTTTAGAACTAATGGAATTTTATATTTAAAGTGCATTCAGAAACGACATTTAGAGGCCTAGTGTAAAGATTAAATTTAATGGCCAGCATCTATACGTAGTAAGAAATGTTTCACATAATTTTAACTGTGATTTTTATTACAAAAAAATGGATAAGGTGTAGTTATTATAAGTTTATAATAAAATTATGAGGTGGATAAATGAATGTGAACCTATACATATTTTTGAAGCAATTAAAAAAATATGTTTTAGGTATATGAACTAAATGTCAACGCTATCTTTTTTAATTTTTAAATATCGAACACATTTTGTATCGTGTACCTATTATGAATTGTCATTCATATAAAAACTCCTTGTTACACAATCATGTGTTTTATTGTACGTCCATTTGGCTATAATATTCATTTACTATTATGAGTGTGTATGTTGATTGTTGAAAGTGGTGTGCAATTGACATATTCTTTGGAGAGCGTCCTTTGTGGGAGCTCTATAATTGCGATGGAGTAGGCCGGGCCTGTTGGAGACCTGCCCACTCGCAGACACACCCCTCTTAATTGATTTCAGACAATTCTACATGTATCAGTAGAGTAATATGGAGTTTTAAGTTTCTATTAAATAAATAGTTTCAACAAAGAATATTCATAAAACCATTTTTTTCCAACAAAATTTTCATCATATTTGTTTACTTACGAAACGACAAAAAAAGGCAAAAACATGTGAATAATTTTTCATAAAACTCTAATTACAAGTTAAAATTCAAATAAACTAATTCGATTAAAATTCCAATTCCAATTTTAAATCCTAACCAATAAAATCCTCCTTAATAAATCTATCACATGTGTTCTCAACTCAACATTCAACGCTCTAAGTCCTGAAGGCGTGGCCTCCCATCCATCGCTGCAGCGCTGTACACCGCTCGCTCTCATCCGTTCACTCAGCTGCGGTCGCCGCGGCGCGCGGACATGGCGCGAGTGTTGCGCCCGCCGAGCCACACGTGAGTACACTGACTGCCAACTTATACTCTAAACATAATAAAAAAAACATTTTTTTTTTATTTCTTTATATGGCAATCCATTCTTGCCAATATATCATTTGTTATTATAGAACGCATTTTGATTCTATATTCAAAAATTGTGTTTTTTTTTTTAGTTAAAAAGTGATTTAATTTTTTTATTTTTTTTTGAATGCTTCTATCTACGTTTGCTCAGTTTTCAAAAATATTTAAGATTTTTATTACAAGTCTTTTTATAAATTTATCGTCACTCTAAATGACATAAAAATGTGTGAAATTAGAAAAAAATTATGAAATACTTATCGATAAGGTATATTTTTCTGATACTCGTTTAATATTGTAGTTGTTAAATTTAAAAGATATTCCATTAGGCAGCACTTATATCGCATTTAAAATGTTGCTAAACATTAATTTTTTTCAGTAGGATATAGTTTACAAGCTGTTTAGGCTTCAATCTGAGGATTTCAAAGAAACATATGCGAATGAATAGCTACTCGTTTCATATAGACTCTTTTTATAAATCGGTTTGCCTTCCTAAGTATGGCTGAATATAATTTTTACCTTTCAATCCTTTTCTTTAAAACCTATTTTTTCTTTTGAGAACATTCGAATTCATTCTTCAGAACGTTATATCGTGTATTTTCACCACCACAACTTGGCCCATCTTCAGCCTGTTTTCTCAGGTTTTTGCCTTCGTTTCGCTTCTCCGAAAGAGATCAAGCTTTCTGGTAACAACACGAAAATGCCGATCGAATTTAGCCTCTCAATTTTTGTAAAACTAAATGACAAATTTTCAAATAAGCTCATAGTCCATACCTCACAAACGTTTTATTAATACAATAGCATAATAATTAAATCTTGTACTTTGTTTTCAAATAATATTTTTTATCTATTAAAAACTAAATGCCGAAAGTATAAGACCTCTTTATAAAAGTTTTAAACTTCGTAAATGACTTTGACTCTCAGATCAACTTGGGAGGGAAATTCGCAGACGGCTAAAGTTACAAGTATCGTAATGCTCAGATATTTTGTTGTTACTTCGTCATTTGAAGCAACTAAAATAATTGGTTCATAAAGTTCTTGTGACCGAAGAGGCTAAACTATTTATTGTCAATTAAATCGACAAATAGGAAGAATAACTGAGACATCGGGAGTATGTAGTTTTTAAAATAATAAAATAACGCGTATGTAGTAATCCGAATTCCGAACACTCACGAAAGTTGGATCTCACTACAAGATAGGTAATTGGTAAAAATAATTAATGTGTAAACTTTATAAAAATGAAAAAAAAAAGAATGTAAAATGTTAATGATTTTTCACTAAACTTCCTCCAATTTTCTTTATTATATGTATATTACGTGTATGAATTAGACTTGAAGGGTGAGGTTCAAGATAATCCTTAAATACAATTACATACTTCATAATATTTTCCACATTTTGAAAATACACGTTATTTTCGTTAATCAAATATCTCGGCATTGAAGCAAAAGACCTAAACATTTTATGTCGATGTGTGTTACATACCTAAAGTAAACGATAAAAGTACTAGAATAATCGATAGCCGTTTAAATTTATTTCGATTATATTAATATTATTTGAAAGTACCTACACTTCTTAATACTAATCTGTTAATTTTTAAATTAGGTGTTAATTAATACACATAGAGCCGATCATTCTCTTCTTTATACTTTTTAACAATTAATCTCCTAATTCTTTCACCTTTTTAAATATCCCACATCAATTTAAAATAAAATATCCAGTATTTTAATACTGATCATCACACATAATTTATTCTTCAAAACAGAAAGTTTTTTTTTGACAATTTGACAATTTTTCCTACTCTTTAAGAATGGCTTTGGTTTAAACTTTACGGCCTAGAGCAACAAATAATAATAATCGAAGCAATTTCTTTAAAAATTTAAAAATTCTTTGTATGACACAAATAAGATTTACTATATTTATCTCGATTTTCTATAAATCACGATCACGTTATAAAATAACCGAGTTACCGATACGTAAAAGAAAAAATAATTAGTTACATATTAAAAATATAGTTTTATTTCAAAAATTAAGTGTTGCTATCCTATAATATTAGCTTCTAATTTTGTTTTCCGTTTAATTAAGATAAACATTTGTATAAATCTACAAAAATCCATTGTATTTACATAATTTTTTAAGCCACTAATCTTTTGTTTTTTTAGTCATAGTTTCGATAAAATTCGTAAAACAAGGATATAATATCAATCACTAAAGACTAATTCCCAGTTCCCAGACCTGTATTTACTTTGGTAAATGGGCCTAAAGCAAATTTTTAGTTAACCTGGGAAATTAACAAGTTTTACTAGTTCCTATCAATAGATTCAACTGTTCTGATAGCGTTTTCAAATAACTTCCCTTTATAAATAAGTAATTGTTATCGTATTTTTATATTTCTCGATTTGAATATAGTTTTATATTCATGGAGATGGTTAAATTTATAAATATAATTATTTAAAAATTTACTATAATAGTAATTTTATAATAATAATATCTACCTATATGTATATATTTAATCACTGAACATTGAACTACTTAGGTATATTTTTTTATTAAATTTCGTTGCTACGGTTTTCTCGACTTATACATTGTAGTTTAGTAAAGTTGAATGGAATCGAATTATCTGAAAGTGAACTTAACTGAAGAAATATTTTTTATTTTATCAAAGTGTTTTTCACTCCATCTCTTATTATTTACATATTACTTATTAAAACTAGGATGAATTCAATTCAATGACACTTTATATTTTAACTCAAATTTCATTATTTTCTTTGTCGCTTCCTATAATGTTCATGTCTATCTGGGTTAAAATATATTTGTAAAATTCGTTTTCAAATGGCTGAAGTTTTTCAAGGACGATAATGCATAAACCGGATAACGTAGAAATCGACTAAATATGAAAAAATAATAGAATTTCCAGTTAAAAATTATATTGTTTTGTACATCCAGATATTCTTGATCTGGGATTTGATATAAACCGATAGCTTTTATGATTCAATCGTTGTTGGTGTTCGTTGGTAATTGTGATGACGTATTGGTTTTTCGGACCATCATCTCGATGGCCGTGACAGCCTGCGAGGTCGGATGAAGTGGAACCAGGGCTGACACTATACATACTTTTATTATATCTGAGAACTGTACAAGTTATAATAAAACTTATATATTTTTTTGGTTATAATATTGTATAGGATGTGTGTGGTAGTTTACGCACGCAATTTTGTCTGTATAGAAATCGAAATCGGGTTAAGAATAGTTATTTATTTATTAACGTTGTGTACTCAAGTAATAACGTCTCTATAGGCCTTAAACGTCCATATAAAATATACCTTATACAGCGTTCCTTAATAAACTACTTAAATATTTTGAATAAATTATATACTTTTTTGAATAAATTATACATTATTATGATATCTAAACTATATTACTTAAAAGTTTTAGCAAAATCAATGCATTACTTTATTCCCAAAAAAGATATTTATAACATTAGTCGCTTTGCACGTTCCCATTCTCGGTATAAAAATTTAATTCATCGGACATATTAGTACTCATTACAGAGAATTTAAATCGTTTTTCATATGTAAAAGATTTCGGTAGTATAGAAGTGTATGTCGACAGCCCTGGGGTTAATTCGTCGGTCACTGGAGTGCCGCTCTCGTTGAGGAACGCTATATAACATTTGTCACTCCATTCGTATTGCCTAATGGAGGGCTCCGGCCGAAGCGTTTATTTCTGGCATATTAATTAAAACACGATAAAGGTCAACAGGCTACTCACGGTATATTTAGGATGATTCAGTTTATTATATATTTGTTCTCATTTATATTAAATAGTTTAACATGATGATGTTAAATAAAACACCAAAAAAAGTTGAAAAAACTGCTACATAAGTGGAACTATTAAGACGTATGCACAGATTTTGTTGAAGCGTGAAATCCTCTGTCTTAAGAACGTAGTTACGTAGGTTGTACGAATTATCATTATATTACGAACTCTATTCCTCCTCAAAGCCAGTAAATGAGAAGTTTCTGGATTTAATATTTTTTTTAGATATCATGAATAGCATCCGTCCTTTCCCTGGTTCTCTATCTCTCTACCAATTTTCACCAAAATTCGTAAAGCCATTCTTGAGTTACAAATAGCCTAACTATAGCGACTTTTCTCTATATGTAAAGGTTTCATAGCTGTATATTTTTTTCATAGCTGTATTTTTTCAAGGTGGTGGCGGCAGTTCCAGCAGTAGGATGTCGTTGAAGACCCCAACGCCGGGGGCCGGCGAGCGTGAGACGTGGGGCAAGAAGGTCGACTTCCTTCTATCAGTCATCGGCTTTGCTGTGGACCTCGCTAACGTCTGGCGCTTCCCCTACCTCTGTTACAAGAATGGCGGAGGTGAGTACTTAGATTTTTGTAGGGGGTAGAACCTAGATTTTAGCTCGAAGCAGCTCGAAGAAGGACCAAACTAGTACCACTAGGGAAGAACCACTCATACCGTTCATAGAAAATCAACGTGCTTAATGGTTGCGTTTCTTCTGATAAGTGAGAGTGCCAGTTGCCCTTTTTTTCACAACCTTTCCTAACTTTCATCCACAATCGAGGTCGTCAATGGACGACGGTGACTATCTTCGATCAGGTACGCCGTCTGCTCGTTTGTTCCCTTTCTAATTAAAAAAAAGAAAAGTGCTTATTTGATCATGTTTTACAGGGCTTTGTAGATAATTTTCGTTTGTATTTCAGACAACAAACGATCAGTAGAATGAATTATGTTATAGAATATAAAATAGAGAGAAATAGTTAGTAATTTTAATAATTCACCTAAACTTTTTGAAGGAGTCCAACGCATAACAAGAATACGTATTAAGTCTAGTTTTTCATACCTTAACCGACGTTACTACTGTATTGTGGAAACATTTATGTATGAAAAACAGTACATTTTCTGCATATTATTTATTTATTATCTATATATTTTTTTTGTGAATATTAGTAATTGTATTTCATAATTATTAATTAGTTTTGTTTACAATTGACACTGTAACGTATCTTAAAAGGCATAATTTCACTATTTCTAAGTTTTTTTTTAATTATTCAAATAGTTTCACTTAAATGCCTTTTTTATTCCATTTTGTTTGCGGTTTTAGATTTCTTTTTCAGTTTTTAGTTTATTGGAATAATTTTCAATAATTGGAAACATGACGATCTTTAATCATTATACGTGTTAATCCTCCCCTTAAACATAAAAAACACATCTTATTTCTAAACTTTAGTACAATAAATATAAATTCTTACAATTTAATCGTTCATAGAACAGAATGTAACAGATCTCGGGTATATTCAGTTATCCGCACATTATTACGTTATCCCGGCTAAATCACCGAGTAAGAGGTGCTGCGGCGTGCTGATGAAACGCTACCATGAATGCTAAGTGCCTCTTGCCGCCTCTTGCCGCCTCTTACCACCTCTTACCACCTCTCACAACCTCTCGCGACCTCTAGCCGCACTAATTGTCGGCGTGCTTCCGACCTGAAAGACGCATTCAAATCGTACATAACTAGTCAATGTAACTCTGATATGTATAATATGTATATTGTGAGAAATCTTGCTTTATTACACCAATTACTATTTTCTTACACCAAATTGGAGTTACATAGTAACTTAGATAATACTTTTTCAATTTAGAATATCCTAAAATTTTTTTAAGAAAAATATCCTATGATTATGAAAATTACGTAGCAACAGAGAGCCTGATTCAAAAAGACTTTCCTAAAAGTTAGAAGAGATGGATTAAATAATGCTATTTACAAAAAAAGAATACTTTAAACACAGCTTTTGCATAATTTATCTTTGTAATTGTACACACAAGCCAACATAATTTACATTGCGTGACTAATTGCAATGCATTCTGAGTGCTCTTGAAAATCAACCAATAAGCCTTTCTGTTCATTGTACTCTATGACTCTCTAATGAAATGCTTCGTTAATATATTTAAACTAAAACTTTTGGACTAAAATTAATTTACTTTTACAATTTATATTTATTAATATTTATTTCCATTTAGTTGTACTTTATAATTTCGGTAAAATAACATTTTGTTTCCATGAAAACAATGTTTATTGACAAATTTTCTTGATTTCTTTGTTTTGTGATGAGATCTAGTTGAATATAATTTTTTGCTACGAAATAAGTATCTGGCATACACAGCCGGAAATGGTAATTTTAGAGAGCGGTCACCAAGTTGAGCAGAACACGCGTCAGATGAAACCGGAAACGGAGAAATGAGTTTCGGTCTTTTGATCTCAATGTCGACAGCATTATATGTACGAACTTTAATTTACTTTTGAATTAATATTCAAAAAAAACTTGGACGTTATATTTTTTTGAGTATCACTTAATATAATTATATGTGAATGTACTATACTAACTATGTACTTTAAGTATTCACGTCAAAGAATAACTTATTCCCAGTCAATCGTGACACAATTCCGAATAAAGTTCAACATGAACTAATTACATCCTCTTCGCTTTGTAGCATCCGAGTCTTTGGGCCAAGAGTCGGTAATTGACAATCAGAACGAGCCCTTTACGCGACGCTATGAGAAACTTAGTTAGCTACTCCAAGTGCAGGAAAATTAGTAACGCATAATGGGTGTAATAAGGTAATGGAGGGAGAAGGTCATCTGGTGCCGATCGGGGAGCATCCCCTTCATTTAATTAAATGTCAATTCTGATTCTTGTGAAGTCCCGCTGAAGGGTCAACGGCGGAAATTTATTTAGTATCGCCTGAACGCGCTTATGATATGGATAGAACTGAACGTAATTCAATTTTGCATAGCCATTAACTTGAGCTGTGATGTTGTGGATTAAATATAATAGATTTTAGAGTTTCATAGCTTTATATACTAGCTGTTGTCTCGACAGTTTGCTCGTTTTAATATTGCTTATAATTCTGTAAGTAGTTGAATGTATACAAACTTATTATTGCTGAGTAAATAACAATATAGTCTACAATCAGTTTATATCGAGTAATTTAGCCCTATTCAATTGGCTTTCATATACGGTAGCCATTAATATATTAAGGTATGAAACAATAGTATTTTGGCCGTTCATACCACGTCACACCATAGGACGAAACACTCCATCATGCGACCCAATCCGTCACGGGCACTGCTCTGACGTTTACAACGCGTTATGGAAGGTACAATTGATTAGCTTTCCGGATTCACGATTGCACTTAACGTAAATATCATAATATCATATCGTAATCATATCATGATTTTTTATATAACTATCACGAGAGAAGAAGGAACCTTTGTGAACGTCGTTAAGCATTATCTGAAACTTTTATAGGCTATTGTTTATTGTGTTGTCAGAGGTATAATAAACACATTTCCTTCAATCCCTCGAGTGATTTAATACTTGAGAACTGTCCCGATAGAAATCTCATAATACCCAATCATCCGCTCTCCGCCGGGAACAGTCGAGACGATTTCATTACTATAAGTCCAGGCTTAAAAGAAATTCAAAATGAATTTTTAAAAATGACATTTCAATTTTAATAAAAAAATTAAGTATTATAGATATTGCTAATAGAACATCAATTAAGAAGCTTACGTTTTTTCGATTCAATTGTTTAAGTCTCTTTTTTATTATGACGATTACAATACATACAATTTTGGTTAAAAACATTTTATGTAAAACTTCATTTAATTAATTACGTCAAATCTTGGAATCATTTAAAACTTTTTCGGTTGAAAGGGGGCATGAGTATTTTTCTTAAATTTTTAAATATAATTGCGTGTTTACAAATATTTAAAATTTAAATTTTTAATAGAATATTTCATTTTATACTATTAAAGTTGGATAAAATTATTGGAATCAAGTACAACTGTCAATAAAGAATGATTACTTACAATTTAAATTTAATACGGTTTTATTTATTAGATCTAAACAATTCGTATTTTGTGTCAATGTTATTTAGGAATTATAATATACTTATAGAGTGAAAAAAAACCTCAAGAAGCTTTTTTCTTTGAGAATTTCATTGTATAATCATAAACCAGAAAACCTTAAGTGCAACATACGTATAAAAAATATTAATACATTGATATGCCATACATCGAAGCTCCCTTATGAGAGTTAAGTGAGGAGGAAACGGTCATACACTTCGCCGCTCCGATTTACTAACTTAAGATGCTTTCATCCCGTGACCTGTTGCTTTCGCCACTAAAATAAATCCTCTTTCATCCGAGTGCTCGATTTATGGATGGACAGCAATGAAATTCAATTTTTATATATAACTATTGACAATAATATTAACTTTATTCTAAATCAGACTCTTTTATTACTTTACTAGTACTAATATTTTATTTTTATTATTGTTTTGTTTATAAAATATAAAGCTGATTTCTTCTTTGTTTTCTTGATTAACCACTGTTTAACTTTAGAACTGGCGATGATAAGCTCATTACTGTATAAATGTGAACAGGAAGATCTCTATTTAGCAATTGCTCTAATTCACATATTACTCATTCTTATGCTTTGCCGTCGTTAAATACGTTATGATGGCCCTTTTCCCTTTACGATCTTAAAATAGTTATGATGTCCATAATATCTTAGAAATATTCCTTTTATTTCTATTATCATTAAGTTATTGTTATTATACAAATGTTCGTACAACAATGATAATTTTAAATAATAAATGTAATCGTCACTTTCATAACAGTAGTGAATATAAAATGGCAGTTTTCTTTTATCTATCGCTTATGGAAAATGTAATGTAAGTCCACTTCTTTGAAAGGAAAAGTGTTAATGCTCTTAAGGCTGACAATTTTTTCACTCTATTTCCTTTGAAGAGAGCAATCTCAAATCATGGATCGCAATTCTCAAGGCAATAATTTCATATTGGCTCCGTCGCAGAGGCCAGAGGGTGGGGAGGCAAATTATGCGGTAATTGGCCTTTTAAGTCTCGCATTTACTTAGAACAAGCTTTTATTAGACTCCAGACAATTCTTCTTATAAATTATTAAATTTTTAATATTATTTTCACTGTATTTAGTGATGAATACATTTATTCTCATGTCAGGGGCTTTCTTGGTGCCGTACTGCATAATGCTGGTGGTTGGCGGGATACCGTTGTTTTATATGGAATTGGCTCTCGGACAGTTTCATCGAAAAGGAGCAATCACTTGCTGGGGCAGACTTGTGCCACTGTTTAAAGGTAATATTTCAACATATCTTTTATTAAAATTATATATAAATATGTAGTTAATGGAATTTCTTTTTGATATTTCACAATCTTAACGGAGTCGTGATTTATAGGCACTTTATATTCAGTCACGTGTTCGTTACAACAATTGAAAATGGCGACACATTCGCTAAGTCAGAGCAATCTTGAATTATTGCTCTAGCCTCAACGAATATAGTATGACTATTTGAGTATTTTAATAAGTGCTCCAATGTTATGTTTTAATATATCGTGTTAAACCTTTGAAAATAGGACAGCGTGAGTCGTAATATTTAGAAATAAGTCCTCAGTTATAGCTAAAATAATAAGTTGGAATCTAACAGTAAATTTAATGTGGGTGAAGTTGCTAACAATGAAACTATCTTTTTATTGAAACTAATAAAAATGTATATAGGTAAAAATATTCTTAAATGTGACTCCCCTTTTCTGTTTTATTATATTAAGAATAAGATATCATAGGAGGCGTTCACAAGCTTGCACTTAGCAACCATAATTGACACCATTTCTCTGCTCCCTTAAGTGCTCCATACGCTTTCAAAGACTGCAGATTTGTGACCGGCTTATGGCCGGTGATTTCATTTCACTTGTCACGTCCCGGTTGAGTGGCTTTGGCGATATGATTTTTAAAGAATAAAATTGCTAATGGGGTGGAAATGAAGCTTTCTGTGACCGGGTTTTATATAAAGGGGTATTTTTTTTCAGTTTTATCATTTCATTTTTTATGTTTTTGCGTCTATTTTCACAGTAGAAGACTGATTATTATGTGTATGTTGTATGTAATCTTGTTTTAAGGGATCGGGTATGCGGTAGTGCTGATAGCTTTTTATGTGGACTTCTACTATAATGTGATCATCGCGTGGGCTCTTCGGTTTTTCTTTGCGTCATTCACCACTATGTTGCCATGGACCAACTGCAATAATGAATGGAATACACCAGCCTGTCAGCCGGTGAGAGATTAAGACATCACAAACACATTGCAATCACCTAAATATGTTTAACCATTAAATACACATACATATTTTATAGTTTGAAGCTAATTGGGAGAACGTTAACGCTAACAAAACTCATCACAACTCATCAGAGTCAAACACTCCTGTACAAACAACACCATTCACTTCAGCCGCATCTGAATACTTTAAGTAAGTTCCATCTCAGATGTAATATCAACTAGTTTTGGTAGTATACCTATTTGTTTATGTATGATATACATTTATTTCCAGTCGCGCTATTTTGGAACTTCAAGGTAGTGAAGGTTTGCATGATTTAGGCGCCATCAAGTGGGATATGGCTCTTTGTCTACTCGCAGTTTATATAATTTGCTATTTCTCTCTATGGAAGGGCATCAGTACGTCGGGAAAAGTTCGTATATTTTAATTACTTCTTTGGATCATATTATTCGGTATTATTTAATGTATACTTCTGTTTTAGGTGGTTTGGTTCACAGCTTTGTTTCCTTACGCCGTGCTTCTGATTCTCTTGGTCCGTGGTATTACTTTACCTGGTTCCGCTACTGGAATACAATATTATTTGAGTCCTAATTTTGAAGCTATAACACAACCACAGGTAATTTAATATGAAATATTAGTTACAGGACAATTTATACTCTCATTTTTAGCTAGTTGAAAGTAAGTAGAGAAAAAGTTTGATTAACCTTTTGTTAATTCTGAATTTTCTTTGCTAGGTATGGGTGGATGCAGCAACACAAGTCTTCTTTTCTCTCGGTCCCGGATTTGGTGTCCTTCTAGCTTACGCTTCCTACAATAAATACCATAACAACGTATACAAGTATGCTATCGAATATTATTTATATACACTGGTTTTATTCAAAATAAAATTTTACTGTTTATCAAAAACATTTTTTTAGTAAGTCAATAATGATAATATGAAAGAAACAGTAGACTTTATTTGTAAGATGCTCAATTCTTCTTACTTTTGTCGAGCTATTAAACTAAACTTCTCATAGAATCCACATTTCCTAACTCCACAAATCCTCAATTCCAGGGACGCGATTCTCACCAGCGTGATAAACTCTTGCACGTCGTTCGTGGCCGGGTTTGTTATCTTTAGCGTGCTTGGCTACATGGCACACGCGTCTGGCAAACACGTTCGTGATGTAGCGACTGAAGGGCCTGGCTTGGTGTTCGTGGTGTACCCGGCTGCTATCGCCACAATGCCCGGCTCCACTTTCTGGGCTCTCATATTCTTCATGATGCTGCTTACTTTGGGCTTGGATAGTTCTGTAAGTTTGTTAATATGGAAGACCAAAAATCTCCTCTTAACAATTGACTCATACCATCCATGTTAATTTATTTCTTTCTCTTTTTATTTGGATTATTTTAAACTGATTTTAATTTAAAGCACCCTATTATAATTTCACTTTCCCGATGTCAGGAAATTTTCATTTAATTATTTATTTCGAAGATAGCTTCTGTTAACGTTGAATTTAAATGGAAATATAACGTCTAATAATACATTTTCTTTAGTTTGGTGGTTCTGAAGCCATAATAACAGCTCTCAGCGACGAGTACCCGCCGATAGGACGTCACCGGGAGATATTCGTGGCTTGTCTCTTCACACTGTACTTCTTCGTCGGTCTCGCTTCGTGTACTAAAGGCGGGTTCTATTTCTTCCAACTTCTGGACAGATATGCTGCTGGATATTCCATGCTGGTGGCCGTGTTCTTTGAGGCTATAGCTGTATCCTGGATTTATGGTATGAAATTATTATAGTATGAAATCTTAAGGTCAATGTTGTTTACACCTGTAATGATTTATTCACCTAGATTTAATATCTTGTATTTACTGCTAAGTGAATGTGTTAGTGATAAGTCGCTGGTGAATCTATTTCTAATAAATAAATAAATTGACGTCTAAAGTAAATTTGAGTCTGAATCCCTTCAAGAAAATTGTTGTTTTAATTGACCTACAGATATGATTACTACATTCAATACTCATAATGGCTATCTTCCAGGTACGGAAAGATTTTGTGAGGATATTCGCGACATGATAGGTTTCCGACCTGGCTTGTACTGGCGTATATGTTGGCGTTTCGCTGCACCGGCTTTTCTTCTTTTCATCACGGCGTATGGACTATTGGACTATGAACCTCTACAGTACGAGGGCTATGTTTACCCGGGCTGGGCTAATGCTTTGGGCTGGGCTATAGCTGGATCGAGCGTGATCTGCATTCCAACTGTGGCTATCTATAAAATCATCACGACAAAGGGAACTTTCTTTGAGGTAAATGTAATCTTTATATATATATAAAAATTTCGTGTCAAGTGTTTGTGAGCGATGCACTCCTAAACTACTAAACCGATTTTAAATTTGATTTGCATTCCGTGTGCATTTTGATCCAACTTGAAAGATAGGACAGCTTACATCTCAATTTATAATCACAATATTATTTTATTGCAAATTATTTGTCTATTAAAGAAAATTATTTGTCATTATTACAATTATCTGTTGACTGAGTTAAGTAAGTAAGATGGTGCTATGTTAACAATACAAACGTCATATTTTTCCGAGGCTAAGGTATAAACTAAATTCATTTATTAAAAAACCGTAACAGATATTTCTTGATTATAGGGCGATACGAAGTACGCTGGGTCATCTAGTGTACCTATATATTTCTTATTATATCAGTACTCATGATCCTAAAAATAATTTTAATATTTTTCAGCGTCTTACGATTCTCACCACGCCGTATGCGGACACAGAGCACACAGCTCATAATGGTGTTGTCATCTCTGAGAGCGGCGGCGTCAGACTGAACTCTACCGTCACTACACCCAACACACCACCGAACGTTCCATACACACATGCACAGATCATCAACACACAGATCACACCGACAGCACTCACACACACGCTCGCCCCCTCCCCCTCCCCCTCGCCACACCCCACGCTCGTCTGAGCGACGCTTTCCTTTGACGTTTACTACGTGTAACGTCAATGTCATTGGATATGTCAGTGTACGGTCCATGGCAAGTTTTTATTTTTCTTTTTAATCAGCATTACAATCTAGTAATGTGGATCATGAATAATATGAACGGTTTACATTATTAAATATATAACTCTTTCGACGTCTATATGTAGGTTGGCTTTACGATTTGTTATGTATTTGATGTTTCAAGCATTTCTATCTAGAGAAAGTAGCAATATAGATAGAATTATTGACGTCTGTAGGCATTCCCATTTTATGCTTTTTAAATATATATTTATCTATATGATGAGTATACTTAAATATTAAGAAATATTATAGTAAGTAGTGAATTAGAGAAGTAAAGTTCTTAGTAAATTATATAGTTAAAACATGTTTAATAGATATATGTAGGAAATAGATATATCTCATTATATTCTACTATTCAAAAATATATAACCATTTAGTAGTAAAATTTAAAGTAAATCGATTATAAATTATTGAAGGTTTATTATATTAAACATATTCTATAGAGATGTACTTATTTTGTGCTTATTTTAATTGTGTCTGTCAGAAAACCGTCGATGTTAGGTTAGTTATAAAGTCTCTCGCACACAGACTTGTAACTTTTTTTTTTCATGTGTGCAGATTATATATAAAAATATAAACAAGAAGGTTGACGCTGGAACAATTAGTCTACTATATGAGTCGCTACACAGATTCCAATATATAGTTACTAAAACCCTTAGAAATATATTTATTTTTTCGTTGTTTTTTTCTTCGTATGTTTCAAGGCTTTTTGTATACCGGTTTTTCTTTATCCAGTTAAGCTTTTATATATATCCGAATATATTTTGATATTATTATCTTAATCATTATTGATTTGTATGTATGGTAATGAGTAATTCACATCCCTTAATACTTAAAATAAAGTTTATCGATATAATCGAGAACTTATATAAGAAAAAAATGCTGTGTAGATAATAGAAATGTATCATTTAAGTAATGTAGACTATAAAAAAAGTTTATATACCCACGTTGTAGTTATTTTAAAAATAATATTATTAATCGAGATATTATATATGTAGTGCTATTAATATATTCCACAAATTGCTAAAATATTTAATCAAATAATAATGTTTATGTAGTTTTTAAACATCTAAATGTTGTGATTCTCTGAATAAGTGCTCCAGTTTTTAATTTTAATCGATTACTATTCATCACTCCGTCCAGGGCAATGCGGACTGATGAATTGTATGAAAATCGATGATAAAGGTAAAAAAATGTTTCCACACTCCATACAATAATTAATTTTAATCTATAATAACACTACTATACTTAAAAACGACTTGGCGATTGAAAAATTTTAATGACTTCTTTAGAATAAAAAAATGTATTCTCTATGGTTACGCTTTCTCTTTAAAATATTAACAGTAGATTTTAGATGTAGTATTTAGTGTAAAATGTAGCCGTTGATGTTTATTCTAATTAATAGTCATATCAGCCATTGTGACTATTAATTTATAAAATAAAAACTTATTTATAATAAATTACATTTGTGTTATTATTTATGAAACACTAAGTACGTTATCTTATAATTTAAAAACAGATTATTAAAATGCAATATTAAATTACCATTTAAACAAAGTTTACTCAAACCTAACAAATAAAACGGAAAATTATGAAGCCCGTGTTCTTACATCTTATTTGTTAAAGAAAATCCATTATTTTTACTTAAAAAAGAATAAACTCATATCTGTGTATGAACTTTCATCCATTATCTCTATTAGGGTTGAAAGTTCTTAGCATTCAATGGATTCACTATGCGGTGGCCGGGTCCATCGCGTTGCGGGGACAGGAGCTTCAACAGTCCCTGGGACTTGCGACCCAGGTGTAGGTTCTAGGGACCTATCTAACGCGCGTTAAACACTCACCTCCACTGTCCAAGCTCCTCTCTCTACCTAATCAAATTTGAATAAAATCTAGGACTGCCTTCCAAGAATAAATTGATATCAGTTCTGGACAGGCGACAGGGGCAAGTTTTTTAGAAGGTTGTAGACAGATTTAGCTGTTATACCTCTCGTTCCCACTTCTACTTTAAATCTTTAAATTGGTTGCCTCTGTTTTCAATAATCCAGACTGTTCCAGTCTTATTAAATAAATTTCTGAATTTTATTTACTTTCATATTTATGTCAAGTTTTATCTACTTTCATATTTATTTCAGTTTTGTATTATTATTTCAGTTTATTATTATTTGCTATATGTCGGAATGTGATAAGAGTAACACGTTGTATGCAAATCGTAAGTGTGTCGCTGCCAGTTACTTCTTGTCATTGATGTATAAACAGAATAACACCCTGATATCATGCTCTGAAACTTTCTATCTCTGCAGATTATAAAAGCCTATCTATGTATACGATAAATAAAACTATTAAAAAACTGCATTCAATTATAATATTCATGGGCAAAGCTTAACTTCTTTTTTAAACTTTTGGTTGGTGATTGCGGTGGTTGATGCAAGTAATTTCATTATAATGTCACTATCAAAATTAATACTTTGTATTCGTGTAAAACTTTTATAACATACAATCTTATCTAGTACCTATATAAGAATAAATAGGTTTTCTCAAGTAATCCTTGAAATAAAACTACGGTTTCTAAAATCACTTCGCTATATATTACACAAAATTTTATACGACGGTTAGATTACTTTACAGCAAGTTTGATCACGGGCAGACGAGATGAAACTGTCATGACTTTGGCATAGCTAATATATGTATTCAAACCCCATGATGCGATGGGAAATTATAATCGTAGGACTTTTCTAAAAAAAATGATTTAACTAAAAGAGCTTTGTCAAAAGAAAGTTAGTCTTAAGACTTCCACCAACCTCTAAATGACATAATATTCAAGACTACGATAAGTTGACAACGCTGGAAAGGAATATGTGTACTGTCCCGATGGATGTACCTCAAATATAAATCTTCTGCGTAATAGAGAAGTGACTAAACTGTGTAATGGCTGACTAGAAGTGAGAAGAAGAATGACAACTTGGGAGTTTTAAGATTGAATTGCAGATTAAGGCCACTGTAATGTTTTATTTAATTTACTCAATATACTCTATTCGGTGAGTCCTACAAAAAAAAGGACAGCCTTCAATTAAAAGTAGAGTCAGAGCTCTGTATACCATGTGTTGTGTTGATTGATTAAATTCTACTGGTAGAACAGAGGTGATGCCTCCGGATAGGTGCCGTTTTTATGCTACAAACGGTATAGCAGTGAAAGTATATATTAAATGTAAGAAGGCCTAGCAACTTCCTGAGAAAAAATTAGTCCGTTGGTGGATATGGTCAAGAAAAAGTTCAAAATTGTAGTTTTATTGCAACAAGTTTTATAAGAAACAGTAATATTTTCTTATTTTAAAGGAAGGCAAATTTTAAATTAGTTCCATATTGATTTATATATTTCTATTCCTTTAAATTATTACAACTGAAGAGTCCAAGTCATTTAAAAGACGAAAATATATTCTATGGTCAAATCTGCAATTGACAAGATTTAACTTCAAAATTGACAAGTGACATATAATAAGTAGTTACCAATTGTTCTCTTAATTGTTGAATATCTATTCCTCTGCGATATATAAGTATATGAAATAGTAGTATACTATCCAAAATGGAAAATAAAAGTGAAGAACAAGCACAACCTGAAAAATCTATTTTCACCGCCATTGCCCAAGGCGACCTTCCCGAATTTAAGAATATCCTTGCACAACATAAGGGGAGCGTCGATTTCTTTGATGAAAATGGCATGACGGCGTTACAGCACGCGGCTTATAAGGGTAACAAGGACATGGTGCAACTCCTTCTCGATAGGGTACATTTTATTTCTTTATCATTTCCATTATAATATACCTATTTATAATGGTTAACGTGTATATAAGACTAATTTGAATACTATATTTTTAGGGCGCCGATGTCAATTCCGGCAAACACGAGTACAACTATACAGCTCTTCATTTCGGAGCTCTGTCTGGTAACTCTGATGTTTGTAAGTTACTTCTGGACGCCGGCGCTAAACCAACCGCCACTAACTCCGTAGGACGCAGTGCTTCTCAAATGGCAGCGTTTGTTGGTAACCATCACACAGTAGCAACTATCAACAACTATGTACCTGCCAGCGAAATATCCTATTTTTCGGTACCTCAAGGGCAACAAACAGAACCACATTTACCACCATTCTTGGTTGAATCTCTTCATAAATTTGTTCTCGGTGTAAACATCCACCCTGTTAGACTGGCATTAAACTTACAACACATGTCAGCTCTTTTAGAGAATGCTGAAAAAGTCAGCAAAGTGCTCGAGATGCTTTGCAAAAAGGAAATGACAAGAGGTAGTGACACTAATGAAGTGATGGCATTTAAATATCATTACCTCGCCTATATCTTAAGGGAGATCAATAATATACGAGACAAACAGAAACCCGTTGAAAGTAAAGAGGACAAGAAACATGATGTTATTGAAATTTTCTCTAAGAAGCTATTAAAACCTGGCAAAGATGGTGTGTCATTAGACCTCATGGATTCATTCCTCAAGGATTGTGTTCGAGAGTTTCCATACAGAGAATGTACAACATTCCACCAAATGGTAACATCTCTGACTAGTAAGGACCCACCTCCAGCGTTAACAGTGATCAACTGTACAATTAATGGTCAGAGAGGATTTGTTGATGCTATCCCATATTGTAGCACTTGCGGTGAAGAAAAACCAGCCAAGAAGTGCTCTAAATGCAAAACAGTTCAATATTGCGACCGTGAATGCCAGCGCTTACATTGGTTTGTACACAAGAAAGCATGCAACAGAGAATCGAGTGTACCCGTCAATTCAAAACCCAACATCGACCCATCAGAAATCACCGCTGAGTTACAAAATCTTGTTGCCGGATAACTTAATCGATAATTTATAGTCAATGTTAGCTAAGTTTTCATATCTGTGTCATTTCTTATAGATATTTCATTTCAATAAGAATGTTTTTTATGCATTTACAAAAACGTTCGGTTATAAAATTACAATAAAATTGATACTAAGTCATCTGAAATGTTCACTGAAATTCTTTTTAGGTGTTGCTAAATCAATGAGCTTTACTATTACATTAAATGTTAATAGTTTTCAGCTTTTCTTGTAGGAAATGTGGCAATGCTTTTGTGATTCAATGTTATTTAGCAGTAACACAATGTCATATATCAATTTGAATTTTGAATACCTGTTAAAATCTACCTCTTCCCCAATACAATATCAATATCCAAAAAATGTTATAATATAACATGCATATATATGTACTATTTTTTAAAGAACTATCATGTATGTATGACTATGTTTGTAGTAATGTCATTAGCACATAAGGATACTTCTGTAATAATGATTGTGTTATTGAAATAAAATCTTCTAGTAATTGAGAGACTTGCTTAATACCCGTTTACTCTTCATTAAAGATAAAATTATCTTTATTTCTGACATTTATGTGTTTTATCATAAAACAATAATATACTGTGGTCATTCATTGATTTAAGTTATTTTTATATTTTATTTTTGTATTAATACATATTAAATTTAAATTATATACATCAAACAATTTCTTTTGTCTTATGTATAGAGTTCATATAATCTATGTTCGTCATCAGCCTATCAGAATCCACTGCTGAGCAAAGGCCTCTTTTTCAAATGGAGAAGGTTTGAGTATTAATCACTGCTTGCTCAAGACGGGTTGGTGACTTCAAACTAATAATTGTGAAATTCCTCACAATAAGTCCAGGTTTCCTCACGATGTTTTCCTCCACCATCTGTCAGTGGTGTCTAAATATTCTTAGTAAATGCATATGATTCGGAAAAATCACATTGGTACTTGCCAGGATCGAACCAGTGCCCTCGATCACGAGAGGCGGGTCCTTTAACCACTAGGCCAACACTGACTCTGTTCAGAAACTTGCAATTGTAACGCTAGATGTCGCTACGTTCCACAATTAACATTTTCATATTATGACGATACAAGTTTTAATCTATAGTAAAAACATTTGAAGGAATGTTTTAATTACATATATTAAGAAATAAAAAGTACAAGTGATATTTTACATAATGTTTATTAACTTTCCTTTTATAGGTACATAAAAACATTCTTCTTTGTACATTATGTACACGCTTACATAAATTAATACTAAACTATGTCTAATTACCTATTATGATACGGAATACGTAATTATTATATCTAACATAGCAAAGGCACTTTATATCACATATAGAATAAGATGACCTTAAAACTAAGAGGTAGGTTAAGGTAGTAACATCGATACGACTATGACGTATTTACAGGACCAATGTAAATATTGCTTATATTTCCCGTGTTTTTTAAATACATTTGTATCAACCCTCTCCAAGTAGAGCGCTTATGGTGAAACTTTTCAATTTTCTACAAGGGGCGGGAGGGGTTGAGGGTGAAGGCATACTCGGGGCTGGCGGGGGTAACGCACTCCAGCAAGTTCCTAAGAAATTTGTTGCCATATTTGGCGGAGGCCACATTCCGTAGGGTATTGGCATGTGTAGTGGGTTTAGGTACGGCATTTCTGGGGGGTAAAATGGAGGGGGGCTTGTGTTTTCTGGGGCCGTGACAAGCGGCGTCGGTGAATCTATCAGAGGAGGTGATCGTGGTGATGACGATCTTAAACTTCCTTCTTCAGAACATGATGAAGCAGCATCTGAACAGGGTCTTTTCGCGTCCGTGGACTCACTCTGTGTTTCTATGCCCGAGTCTACGTCAACATTCTTCCTCTTGCATTTGGACTGGCCACAAGCGCGGAATCCTTTTGCGAATGGATTGTTGTCGATTTTCAATTTCGTTATCCGATCATTCTGTAAAGATGATAGAGATACATTTAATTAAAAGTTAAATAAATTGTAAGTAGAAAGTTATAACATTAAAAGTAAAAAATAATAATTGTAGAAAGTAAATTTACAAATGTAAAAATCATGTTTTACAGTGATAACTTTATATATGTGATGTTCAATTAAATGGCCTACTTATTAATCAATTAGCGACTGTCAAGAAGTACTCCTTTCCGTTGGCGCTCAGTACTCAAGAGCTAGTGAACATATCTGTTTTATATAAGAAACTAGACAGCTATCAAATAATAATTCCCGAGTCACGTTTGAGGTTGATTAAGTCATTACGTCGTGGTAGGTATAAAAATAACCCGTGATTGACTTAAAACGTCTTTGCATGTTTCACGATTCGTTATTTCGATTATTTTATATTTCATTTTTATGTCTCTTTAATTACTTCCATTATAGAGACCTCCTTGCATGCTCATACAATAAATCTACTATTTTCCTGCTACGTATATATTTAAAAATCTGGCCGCTATTAGGGTTGTTGCAAAGAAACCGAAACGGCGCGTCAGAAGTATGTTGTTTTAAAATAATACAAAACGATAAAATAATACAAAACTATCGAAGAATATTAGTTTTACTTTAAGGTAACCATTCACGGTGAAATGACATGAAAGTGTCTGTTATTTTAATTATAAACTGAATGTCTTATTAATTTTAATATATTTAAAATCTTAATAGATTATGTCGTTAATCGTTATAGCTACATGTTTGAACGCCGTCCGCGTGATTGGTTGTTCGTCGCGGGCGTCCTCCTATAGAAGCTATCCTAACTTTCTTATCTTACCGAGAACGTTATTCCAACATCCGTTTCCGTATACATCGGCGACATCGCTAATAGCTAAGGGATAATTGTTGCACATGTGTTAGCTTGGCGACAGGCCAATTAGCATGGCATGTATGCATATCTCCGGGGCCCGCCCGTCGAGAGACTATTGCACTATAACTCGGCGCCAGCAACCATCTCCGAATACCCGTGACTCGTTACTGGTTCTAATTAATTTTAATATTCGGTATATTATTGAAATTAGACACCACGAACAGAAAGTCCTTTAAAATCTGAATACTATTTCGTTATTTACAGTCCCAGCCATTTGCATACAGGTATCGTTCGTCTAGCGAAATTTCTGACAGCAAATAGTCCCATCGTGACACGCCAAGTCACTTGCAAATGACTGTTTACATGATTTGATAAGGCGGCGCCGGCGGGTGCTGTTAGCTCAACGTACTACGATAACCGAACAACCTGTCAGGATAGGAAGGTTCGCTAAAAGCTTGCTATTAGGTTTGTTTAAGTATTTCTTGAACTGGTCGGCTAGTTTACGAGTGTTTGAGATGCGTCAGGCGCCGCCCCCGTCCCTGTCGCCCGTGACATCAGGCAAGAAGCCCGCAGTCGCTTTTACTTTTTGCGTTATATTTTACATATTTGCGACTGTCTCGTCGCCAGTTTTTTAGATGTGTAATAAGGGTCTGAGTAAATTTGGTTAACTTATCGAATACAAACGGTAAAAGGCTATTGGATATTCAAAAACATGTGACGTCTAGACGTTGTGATTAATCATATCTAAATATTTCAACAGTGTTTGTGCGGTAATGTAAACTCCATTGTGTAATCATATAATCTGCCACCTAGATACGCTTTTAAATGGGTGTCGGCTAGAGTAAAGGAGATTTTCTAATTCGTTGGTGATTCGCAACAATGTGTTTGCATCCCTGTGTTCGTTAGAGCTTGGTTAATGCGTAATGATACGCCGCCGTGCTATTCTCCTGGTGGCGATACCGTTAGCTGGACAATTCTAGGATTATCCTAAAGATCGGTCCGTAGCTGTAATTGTTAATGGTCTCGATAGCCGTTCTCGCCTCGCTGCAGTCAACATTAAATACGCCGCCGCGACAAAGGAGCCGATGCGACCTAATTACTGGACGATGGCTTACGCAAGAAAATGACACGCCGCGATGAACGTCAAAGATGGAGGCTTAATGTAAGAAAACAAACAGCGGGAGAGCGCCGCTGGGTGGAAGATCTGTTACATACGAGTCAACGTTAATAAATCTTATTAAAATTCACTTTATTGAGACGCGCTTGAGCGTGCGCATTATTACATTATAATTAACGATTTGAAAAAACCGTGTGGGCTTTATACGGAATATACGTGGGCGATTTATTGTAAATTAAATTTTTACTTAAGTTTCCGAAAAATCCTCATAAATTAGATTAGTTATACAAAGACAAATGTATTTCTCACGGCTTTTTCTTAAAATCCAGAAGCTTGCATTGGTTCTAAAGCAAACGCCTAAACAATTGTCCGCTTATCAGTTAAAGTACAAAGGAGCCGTTATTTTAACTGTTTCATCGAACATCGAATACCAAACAATAATGAGCTGGAGACGAGCCGACGTTGTTAAAAATTATTTGTCATTGTTTCGTTAATTGCGATGACCGCTCGTCTCCGTCGCTAACTGATTTTTTGCTGCACAGTAAAAGCTTTGGCGCCGTAATGAAAAAATTGGAGCTTCATAACACCGAATCGTACGTTTCGGCGAAATCCACTACATTTTCGGAGAATTCCATCGTTCGTATCTAAGATGGTGTTCCAATAGTTACACCGAACACCGTTAAACAATTTATAGAGTATATTTTTGTATATACATAAAATAACCAAAACGAGAATACTAAGTTACAAAAAAATTTTGTTCAAAGCATTAACATTGCAGAATTGTTTCTCGTAATTGCTTTAAATTAAATAGCCTTAATGGGCATTTACAATTTACATTACCTTTGTATAAATAAAGAAGAAAATGGTTAATATTCAGTAGGTACATATATTAAGAATATGTAGCAAAAATAATTGTATATGCGTAAGGAATTAAAAACAAATTAACCAACCTCAAAAGTACAATGATGTTCTTAAACATATGTAATGTATACCTATAATATTTAGTTTTTTTTTTTAAAATTGCCTTGGTATTCGGATCATTTCTTTTATAAATTTAAGTAATGGCTACTGTCGAAGACTATTTGAAGATTTTATTCATCAGTGTCTTATATTTATCACATAAAAGGAGTAACTTAGCTACATATATTAAGGGGTAATGAAACCTCTTTGAAATAAAACGAGTATCCACTTTTGTTTTAGTTTTAAAAGCAGTTATTAAGTCAATAGAATTACATTTTCTTTTAACATCGATCACTATTATTCTTTTATGAGCTATAAAGTATTTAGTACGTATTATATACCTACAGTATATAGATTTAATAGTATTTTGTTATTAAGGTGAAAAAAATAATTTCTTATATATATTTGTAGATATCAAAAATTTTAAAGTTATTTATCAATAGTCTATGAATATATGAATAGTCTAGGATGATCTCGTATGGGTGAATATATCAAATTACCTGGTAAGCGGTAACAGCAATGAATTCAGTCTCCGGGAATGAGAAGGCGGCGTGAGGGGCTCCCCAGGCCAAGGCGGCTGCATCCCTAGCCCTGACTACCACTACACGTGGACGATACTTGTGCATTGATGTTAGAACCATCTGAAACAAATTAGTACATATAGAAAGATGAAACCTTAGCATTCAATGGATTCACCGTGAGGGTGCCGTGTCTATCGTTGTAGTGAGAGGAGCTTCAACAGTGTCTGGGACTTGCGACCCAGGTGTAGCTTAAAGGGTCCCTATCTAACGCGCGTTAAACCCTCACCTCCACTGTCCAAGCTCCTCTCTCTACCTAACTAAATTAGAAAAGAACTTACTAGGGCTGTGTTTAAAGTACGTTCCAAGAATGATTTAATGTGAGTTCTAGACAGGCCCAAATCTACCCAGGTGTAGGCTTAAGCTGGTCTATCAATTTACCTACTAATGAGATACGAGCATTCGAGATAGTTTTCTGTTTATATAAACTTGCAAAAAAGACATTCTTATATCAATAATTAATTTTATCCTGACGTTCTAAACAGAGAAATGAAGTTAATGTTTTTCGGATAATACTATTCGTATTTTATTATTTTATAAAAATCATCACGGTTCCTGAAAAGTAACCGAAACGTCGGGGGTATGTAATTTTTTTAAATAATAAAATATACGCGTATTATAATCCGAAAAATATTGGTTTCATTTACGTAAATAGATACTCGCGATAGTCTTAGATCTCATTATTCTAAACAGTGTTACTAAATGATTAAGTTACTAAAATAAGTTTAATAAATTATTAATTTAAATTTCATATACTTTTAGATACAACTGTCCGATTTCGTTGTTGCATATAAATTTTAATTATTTTTAATTTAATTGAATCAATTCATAAAATTTGCTTGGATAGTATTCACCATCAATCAATTTTAATAATAAAATAATAAATAATACAGTGAACTATAATATTAATATAGCGAATAGACATTACAAAATATAAGTTTGCCTGCATCTTTCATAAGCCCCTTTAGTCTAAGAGTGATTTTTATTAATTATACCTTAATCTTATAGCTTAATCTTCATATACCTATTAGTGACTAATCTTTTGGCATATCGTTTAATCTTGACACTAGTACACTTTTCAATGCTTTAATTATTATATATCTCATCAATAATGTTGATTTCAGTATCGTTTAAACTGAACCAAAAGGCAAATTATGAGATCTAAGACTTTCGCGAGTTTTATTCATTTAAATGAAACTAATTTTATTCGGATACACTACGCAACTTTAATTTTAGTAAAAAACTACATACTCCCGAAGTTTCATCTACTTTTAAGCAACCCTGATCAAGGGCAGACGAGATGTAAAAATAAAGTCCCATAGTATATTCGAAAAATATTACTTTCATTCAAAAGGCAGATTAATTTTATAAGTACGATGTTTTTTATGTTAAAAACATGATATAAAAACTATTGGCGACACGTCTGTTCTTTCGTTACACAAGAACCTATGTAGCACTTGACGCGCTACCTGCTGTATCGGGCGCCGACACTTGAAGCGTAAAGGGTTCTGTTTTGTGTTTTCACTTGTAAACTACTTGAGGTTTTTCTTTTGACTACCGTGGATTTTTGATACTCTTTGGTTTTATATTTTAAGTATTTCTATCACATTTACTTATTAAACGAAGAGGTATATGATGTAATGTCATTCAAGTAAGTATGTTTAAATTTTGTCTACGCTTCATTTACGAGTGACAAATTATTTTATCTATCCGTCTTTGCATGCTCTTTCTATAGTTATAATATATTATAATATAATAATAATATATTACTTATACCTTAATCTTTATACATAAAAGTAAACGATAAGAAATCCACGTAATATAAACCAGTTAAAATTTTTAATATCTTTATTATTCAAAACGCTTGTTATATTTCTTTAAACGCAATTAGCTAATGTCCAATAACGATTTTAATTTGTAACTTTATCGATGTAACTAATTATATTTATCTATTATACGGAATCGTAATCGCTTTAATAACTTAAATTCTTTTTTATCTGTTAAAGGGTATTAAAATATCAATTAAAGTATAAAAAAACTAACTTAAAAAGTTTATATTTAAAATTTAATGTCTATGGAATGTTTTATTTCTATTTTAATTAGTTTACGTATAAATATATGAATGTTTTTTGATGATGAACGTTGTACAAAGGCACTACCAAAGTTCCAAAGTCACATCACATTTGACAGATTGACAGACGTACAATATAAAAGTTTCACCGCGTTCGGAAGCTCGTCCATCACTGTGATATGCATTCGATCAAACGAGATTGAAACCACCGATAATATGTCCGCTCCGTTTTTTTGCATTATCAGATATTTCTTAGATTAAAAATATTAAATCTAATATTATTTTTTATTGAGACGGATTACCCATTTACCGCTGCATATAATTAACAAAGGAACGTTGTATGTAATTATTTTAATGATGTTATTTGTCAACGTTGGAAGCGTAACAAGATGGTAGATAAGGTGGCGTGGGGTTGCCGCTAACATCCCTTGAGGTTTATTTAATTTACCGCCGCTAAAATATTTCGTTGGTTGATATTTGTAACGATAGTGGTAAATGTGTCACACAAAAAACCATGTTTTCAACATCCCACATCGCTACTAAATTTTTTGTGACTATCTGAGAAAGTTACTAGTACTTCATTGTTTATTTTGAAACAGTATATTAGTTATATATTTCTGGTCTTTGATTTTTTAAACCCATAAATAGTAACATAGTCATAATGTGATTCTCTTAATTTTAAAATAGCTAATTGGAAGGACTGCTTATACTCGATAAGGTACTATAATCCTTTTCTTTTTCGTCTCTTTTTAAGCAACTAATCTTTTCCATAATTAGCAGAGTTTCGCACAAAGAGATTCCCGGGTTGATTTGGGCCTACTTTGATGTGGACTTAAAAAACTAACAATACGGATACACAATACTCGAAAAAGGCTCTTTTATCACAGGTGGCAAAACCTCAAGTGCGCAAACGATGCGTATATTTTCCATAAGAATGAAGACAAAATCGGTAGCCCTTCCTTTGAACACAAAGACGCCGACGTTTGTACATGGGAGCCCCAAATAACTGTACTTGCGATATACTTTTTTAATTAGTACTATTTTGAAGTACTTGTTATAAAGAAAAAAAAATATTTACTGTTTGTCTGTCAACTTATCTACCGTCGTTTTGGAATGTTGAATAATAATAAAACTATAAGTTTAAGACTTTATATAAGTATTTATAATCAGTAATATTATATCCCACGTAAAACCTTAACAATTATAATTTTTATAGAAAATGACATATAAAAAACAATGCCGATGCATTATTTCCGCGCAGCGAGTTTCATCGCATCGATGCTCAACGGATCCCGAAGGCATCGTAATCGCGTTTTTGTATATTCCCATGTTTACCAAATATCTATGGGGTGTACAAGATAAGGCTTGACAGATTGATTTGAACCTTTTATAAGATGATTGATATAGTAGTTGATGCTGATTGAAGAAAAAAATTATGAAATATTATGAATTTTAATCATTATAATAATAAAATCTAAAGAACCGTCTCTAATTAATTATAATGTCTATATAAATAAAGTCTCGTTACACAGTAAAGTTTCTAGGTTTATTGGATAATAACTTTAGTACGACGAATTTAAACAAACATAGGTAGGTAAATGAGCTTGATTACTGTCATTCCATCTCAAAGGTAAGCGCTAACAATAAATATTGACATTCATATACAGAGAAATTTCCCAGGTAAAAGTGTTTTAACAAACACACACTCCAAACAGTCCACATTAAACACATTTGTATGAGACATTATTAATAAAAGCGTCACCCGCTTTGTCCTAACGTCAAATACAGTTACATCAACTACTACACACTGAGCATACAAAGCCTTACGAAATGTTTCATACTCCTGCGCCGTTTCAAGTGTAGTTTCAATCTAAATTATACTTTCTATGAATGTAATTAAGTCGTTTTTGGAACGATAAAAATGTATGTAAGTTCAGCTTTTGTGTTCTATACAGCTACGAAATGGTATAGCTGTTCGAATTCCTATTATAAATTATTCATAATAAAGCTTATTTTGGATTGATCTCGTTTCTCTGTATAGCTACGTAGAGGCAAGTCGGGTAGGCGTTTCCTTTGAAGTCGACTATAACGTCGTCACGATTTCGTGTAAGCCGAATGTTCATACGTTTGGTGAAACGAAGTATTAGTTTTATTTTATTTGTAATGATTTAATAAGCCCCGATATCGAATGAGATAATTTTATTAGCGGTTAGACATCGGTTTTAGGAATTTAATGATTATATTTTATTACACAAAAAAGGTTAGCTATATTTTATATATGGGCATGCAATAATTCTTACGTATAAAAAAATAATAATACGTACATGTCCCTGTGCATCCATGGTATTATTGGTGAGTTTGAGTTTGCTGAAGGATACGGGGTTAGCTGTCCAATGATGACCAGGGGCAGGAGAGTCGGGGTGTAGCATTAGTCTTCTTGGAGATTGTGGTTCAGCGCCACCAGCCGCTGCCCAGGCACCGCCAGCCCAACGCCAGCGTCGTCTTCCAACTAATGATAGCTCCAACAACACGCAGTACTCCTCACGAGGATCCAAACCGCTCAAAGAAACACGTAGAGACGGAAACATACGCCTGTTGACAATATTCAGTTTATTACACTAAGCTTCACGATTATTTTAACAGTTGCACAAACATTTCTCAAGTCGGAATGAAGAAGAATAAATGTTGTATTATGTTAATGACACAGGAGATTTAAGCAACGCTTCATTATCACAGAATTGTGTTGTATATGAATATATAATTATTACAACTGGTAAAGTGCTAAAATAATTCAGTTAAATTATGGTCATATTCTATTTTGGTTGTTCGTATAAATGTAATAAGTGATAATTGTATTTGAATACGGCGTGTTTTCATTTCACGCGTCGATAGAATACAATTGAATTATCACATAACTAAAACTTTTGTCCAATCTGGAGTGTGAATTGAATATAAATTTAGATGTTAGAAGACTAATATATAATTTCTTAAATAAATTTTAGGTGTCTTATGTGTTATTTTAAACACAATTTAACGTTAACGAACTCGGGAAAGATTTTTTAAATGTTTGAATTGTGCAATATATATAAAATATTAGTAATATTCTTCATATCTACTTATTAACATAGAGAATTTTGGATTTAGCTTTGAAAAATATTTATATTGTACGGACCTAGTTAAAAGTCAATGTAATTTTCCTTTTAATTTACCTACAGTCCCATCTCTTACAGCCGTGTTAGTGCTACCAAAGATTATAATAGTTTATCACATTCAAAAAGGCAGTATTAAATTTGAATAAATAATGTCGAATCGATACTACTTAAAAAGTAACACTTAACAGTCTATAAAAGATAACTTTGTGGTATCTACCGCGAGAGACCCAACTTACCGTCCCAATAAGAAGTTAGATTTTTAATGTAAGAAATGCTTTAATCACAAAATTATAAGAGAAGATATGTCAAGAAAATTATATTAATTCTAATTATTATTTGATTTATATAAAATATATAACGAAACAATAAAATTATCATCATCAAAAATATTTCTGGAAAATCTTGATGCGTCTTTTGTTCTTTGCAAAGAGAACGAGATATGTTAAAAAGTAGACAATTTTAAGTACAAAGATAAAGATTATTGGTGGTTTTAAATCTTGCTTTTGGCACCCATTGGTCATAAACAGATATTTGGACGGCGCCACCTTATCAGAGCACTTGGGCTTGGCGAATCATGCCTTTGATATTGACATTAGGATAACCTATTGATAAGATGGGGTAGCAATTAACGATGGATAGAGAAAAGGTAGCTATAACCCTTTTAGAGATGTGTTGACGAATTAGATATTCATTATATTTTATTTAAATGAAGCATCACTCTTAAATAGTGCTTAACAAGGGAGGTACGAAAACTATTTTCAATTTACATTGAAAACTATTTTAAATTTAATTTCGGAACTACATGAATTAAAGAAAATTGTATTATTATTACTGTTTGATCAGTTCCAATTCACATATTGGTTGGATTAAATAGAATATAATTACCAGATTCAATCCAAAACCAAAAAAAGTAATCAAAATAATCTGTCAATTGATTTTTAATCACATTCGGTTAGTACTTAGGACAATTGATGTATTAGTTCTTGGTGAATCGAGACTAAATCGATAAATAAATCCAAAGCTGCCATCGAAGGGCCGTGTTATCAATGACTGAGTCATCCGTCATAACAAACGTTATCACAACCCCGGCGGCCGCTAATGCACGCCGATAGCACGCCGACACACAGACACACCGACACCCACCGACACTCGCCGACACTCGCCGACACAGGGACAATTAACAACACACTAAATTAGTTTCCATTTAAACTTTACGATGCCTGCTACCGCCTTACGTGATATCTATAATAGTGGCAAGCTAATGGAAGTTACTTGCATAGCTTGATTGTATAAAAAGGGTCATCTGTATTTGGGTCCTTCATTATGGATATACGTAATTATAATTAAGTTTTTCTATAATAATGCAGTTAAGCAACAAAGGTACAAAAGTAATATTTCTTGAACATTATAAAGAATCATAAATTTCTAACACAATCAAAAATTGTATCCGATTACACAAGTCTGTATCCTCGAAAAGCATATTGACATACGGTCTAAGGTACTCAGAAGGCAAGTCAAATATTGTGTTCTCAATACCTGTACAAGTGTACATCATATTATGTTGACCGGACTCGAGCAAATCAGCTACCGTACATCGCATCCTTATCGTAACCTGTCCATTTATCTAATCCTTTGAACACACCGACAAAGGTGACGATCGAAGCGCAAAATTTATGCGCAATAGCCAACGACCGTACTTTAAAAGCCTATTACAGTCAGCTACTGAGAAAAAGACCTCCAGATATATTTAAAATACTTTTAATGCTGTATTTATTGCACTACTATCGACGTGTCCCCCGTAAAGCTAAAAGGCTGTTAAGCAATCAAATAACAGTTTTGTTATCTCAATAACATTAAATTCAACATTTTCCGCTTTCAAATGTCGTGATTGAAATACATCAGAAGTCTAATTAATGTTCAATGTAATATTCAATTTAATTAATATATATGAACATTCTGATTATATTAAAACCATTACCGACGGTATTCATTATGGACGGTTAATATCAACTTTCATAATATTCGATTTATAATTTATGGAGAGTTTCAAATTAACGATATTGTCACAATCATAAATGAAATGTTCGCTTTAACGATATGTTATACGTCAATGCAAATGAAATAAGGAGACTATAAAAAGATAAGGCCATAAAAGGCGGTGAGGGCAGGCTTAGCCGTGAAGGCATCGCCGGTGGGAACGGACTTAGCGGAATACAATGGGACCACCAAAATAGTATTGAATAAACTTTAGAGTGGGCCATAAATCGGTAACAACTCGCCAATTGACGCACGGAGGCGCTAACAGCAGGACCGACCAGAACCTTTACATCCGCCCTAACATCCGCACTCGAAAAACTAAACGGTTCGCAACTCGCCATTTATGCGATCGCATCCGCTTATTATAACCACAAATATTAACAAATAAAAAATATATAGAAATATCACAAAAAGATTTTCAATATAATCAACATGATGGATACTTCCAAATGTAAAGATAAAATAATGGATAATATACACTTGAAAATAAACAGAAGCTGTACAAATTACAAGCGGTACTGATCACTCGACGAGTAATAAAACCCTAACCTATCCCTCTCAACAAATTATCTTTACTGCTGATTTGATGGTAGTTTTATCGTCAAGTTCAATGTTAAGAGCAGCAGGGCTCGTTACAGCCACAGTGCTACATTGTCCTCGGCATCCGACGCATTTAGTTTATATAAACAGTTGAACCATCAAGTCGGGAACATATTTTGTATGATTCCTACAGTGATATTCATTAGCGTGTATACGAGAGGTTGGCCGGTCCAGATGTGAGCCTGGGTAAACACTCAAACACTCCTCCTTCATTGTCTGCTTTATAAAAAATCGGACACCTGGATGTGTCAAAATGTTCACTCGCACCGGGTTAAGCCGTGAGAATAGTTGCAGCTACGGCTCTTGTGTTTTGATTGTGATTAACAATGTCGTGGCAATGTTTGATATTCACTTGTTAGGCGTTTTATATTTACTTTAAGTTAAAATTATATGATACATGATACAATGAACATTTATATGTTTATTATCTTTCAATAGGATTTCATACAATACAGTACAGAGTTTTTTAGCTACTTTATTGCTGTGGCAGTTTTCTCGTATAGAGAACAATAGAAGTGTATGGATATTAAAACTTTTGTAAGTTAAAGACAAATCAAATGTATTTTGGAGTTTCCACTGCCTAGAGCTGCCTTAACAAATTATGATGTTTTAAACAATAGAAACAAATTAAAACGAAATTAAAATATGTATCCTAAATTATATGAATTCTATTAACATATAAATGGGCTGTTATCTGACCATTCTTTGTTAAGAATCAGCGACACCACCGTCAATCATAATGAACAAGACAAAAAGCAATGAAGCTTTTGGTTACAGAAGTTTTTATTACTGAACGCTGCAGGTGCAAAAAAATATTGCGTCATGGGAGTTGGGACTGCTATTATTTTAACGGTCTTCAAACAATTTATAAATTGGTACGATAAGCGGAACGATCGACAATTAAATGTCAATAAAATGAGAAGCATGACATTATATGAAGGGTTGAACTAATTAAAGGAAAAACACAATACACAGCACGTAATTAAAATTCAGTATAAGAAAACATTAAGAGACTTCTAACCTTAGGTTAATACGTCTATTTAAATTGTCACAACTTTGTATGCTTTAAATGTCAAAGGTTATTGTTTATGATACGTCATTCCTGATTGTATTAAAGGTAGTTTTAATGATGTTGGAGTCATTAATTTCACAGTTAAATATTATTATAAGGCAACGCGTATCAATTTTCGATTCACATGTTTGTGACAGACAAATGTCAAATAGTATTGTGTTAAGTGTAATCAAAATTTCAACCATTTGTTATTTAAATAAAAAATTAAATTATGAAGGAAAATAATGATTATGTCATAACGACTATTAATAATGCGTATGTAATGTTGTTTCTTGTCAAATAATATGACAGCACGACTTCCAATGCTAAGGTGAAGCGGCAACACTCGTCAGACAGAGACAATGGCCGCCTGTAGGGCACCTGCGACATGTTTATGTCCACTTGCCAAATTTACAACCATCCCGAACAACACAGCGCGGAAATTAAATTTTTAATCACTCGTCGGCGCCTTTAGATATGAGGTAGCGTGCCAATTGCATTTCATAATACATTTGCAGATTATAAAATTGTCTTTTGATATCACCGACGCAATTAACTCTTGATCACGATTATCGAACTCAATGTTATCACTTTACATTGATATTAATTCTACATTTACATAAAGTTTAAATTTCATACGGATCTCGTATTAAACTGCACTTATCTTAGTGTAATACATATTAAATCTGTTGAAATTATCATTAAGTCGCGATTTTTATAGTTCGAAATAAAAATACAGTACCTACCGTGTTGCGAAACCGTTAAAAATAAAAAGTATTACTTTCACTAGCAATATCTTTGAACAAAAGATAAAGAATAAATGTCTAGTCAAAGCGCCGGCGCTCAAAGCGATTGTCCTTAAATTGCGCAGGCGGCCGACAAACAGATCGTAATTTAGTTGACAGTTAGTACGGGCGGGTTAGTCCTCGGCCCTCGTACGCCCGCTCATACAAAGCTTATCTTCTTGCCGCATCTAGAGCCTATTATGCGCCTTTTGACGCCGATCAATGTGGACAACAGATCGTTTAGATAACAACATAAGATACACAAACGATCAGGACTTTACATGATCTTCGAATTTTTAATCAGCCGATGAAATTATTCTCAGTGCGATCATGTCCGAGGATTATCTGATGAATATCGCATAATTAGTGTTGGTAATCATTACAAGTACTTACGGCCGTTGAAATGTTTGAAAGAATAGTATTCCTATTTCTATGTTACAGTATTATTTGATCACTACGTAACTGTTATCATATAAAAAAATGATTTAAAATGTTTCTGACAAGGCGTAAAGGTGCAGGCAGTGGACTCGATCGCTCGTTAGCTCCCGACCGCGCATAAATCACGCCGTTTTATGAGATCTCCTAATTTTTTAAGTTTAATGAAATGCGAGCGCAGTATGGGACCCGGCTAGCGACATTAAAAAGGACAAAACGTAAGGACGGACAGTTTCTAATTATAATTCTGTCAAAGCTGCGATATAAGTAAAGAATTGATGATCACCTAAACGCGGAGATTTTTATCTAACACGGAGATTCTAAGATAGTAGCGGACTTTTTGTTATGGTTATTGTTTCAATTTTTTACATCTATAAATATGGATGTTGAATAGTTTTTACGTAAAAAAAAAGTTTTCACAGTTTGAGATCGGAGAAATTTACTGCGAAATATTAAGACTTTAAGAATAAACGTGTTTTTAGGTTTAAGAGGAATACTCTGAATAATAACAGATGTTGTATCTATTAATCAAGGCGTCCAGTGAAGGAACTTCGCATCGCACCGTAGAGCCGGACTAAGAAGTGGCTAATTACTACCGTATGTATGAAGCTCACAGTTCTATATAGAACGGAAGTGTGGTGAGGAGCGGCCGTATTTTAGGAGGATTTTCGAGGAAGCGAAAGGAAGCTGTAGGTATAGTCGCGAATTGAAGTCGCCGACAAAGAAGCCGCCTCACGCGATCCGCACCCGATTCACAATTAAGCAAGCGTGTGTTAATTGATATTAATTTGGTGCGTGTGGTGTAAGCATTCGAGCGACTGGAGTTTTGATACATGTAGGAATAGTTTAGATCTGAGATCACGAATATAACTGGACGTATCAACTTAAATAGCAGACAAAAAAACGGCTTTCAAATAAAAACATGCAATTTTTAGATGATATCCTGGCTAATATTAACGTAGGTGTTTGCAACAATTGAAATGCTATACTATAATCGTTTGAGAATTTAAAAGAAATGTACCTAATCTTTTAAGTCTTTATAGTACAAAATAGGATTAAAGGAGTAAATTTCTCGTTTATCCCTTAGTCCACCAATGACTTATCAAGACGAGGATACCAGGAATCGGTGCGCGTTATTCTCAACGGGTACAAACGCGCCGCGATCGCGTCATTGCAATTAGTACGTTGAAACATCACACACCACACCCCGTTGACATTGAACCTTGTTACGTATTTCAAAGAAATGTGTGATCCGACTTGAGTCTTGACGCTAATCAGTTAGCGCGCTTCGAAATCCCGTTTCATATGAACTCGCTTGTTATATTTAATGTCTGCTTGACTTCTATGACACTTAAACCAAGCAATTGCATGTGTTCCATCGATTTAATGACAATTAATTCCTGTCACACAACTCTCGGAATAAAATGATGTCATCTTTGTGAGCTTTTACTGGGCGAATTAGTTTTGTCAGATATTACATTACATGTTGTTTTGAAGAGAATTCGTGTTACATCATATCGTACTTGATGCTATGATAAACTATTTTCTCACAACGTAGTGGGCTACAATGACACCCAAGCGACACTTTTATTAGAATTTCGTGCTGCGGACTCTGTGTTCACCCATTGGGTAAGTAGATGGATGTATCATAGGATTATGAACGTTATGTTTATATTTTTAAGTGTCCAATTGTATTGTATATTGATGCGTGGGTAAGACAATGGTTTCAGTAGCTGGTGATATGGATCTCGCCGTGGTGATGGTTGGTGATGTCGCGGTGATCTTATCAACGAACACGCCCGGGTGGTTCACGTTCATAGCAGTTGCACTCATGCTTGTAATGCATACTGTTCCGAAAATATTGAGATAATTAAGAACTTTCTTATTTAATACCAAATACGTTAACTTAACCAAAAAACTTCTCGTGTTTTAGAAGAACAATATCACGATTGAAGATGACTTTTGATTATCACAAAAATTGAAGTATAATTTAACAAAACATTTGTGAAAGATATAAAAGTTTATTAAAAATATATACATAGTTTTTATATTTCTTATTTAGGTTAATATTTATGAAATTGTTGGTTCATTCTTTATAATATTTTTGGACAAATGATGCGGACGCGATATCTCGTGGCGCCGTGTCCGCGGCCGACGCACATTTACATAGTATTTGTAAGCCTGCAGGATAACATCTTATAAGATGAAAACTAACTTAGACCACCGGACTATACAGACTGTAGCGATATTATTTTTATTTATTGTACAGAATATTATTATATTGAACTTGAAGGGTCCGAAGAAATATAAAGGAATTTAAAATTAAGGTACCAGACGTATAAAAATGTTGTAAAAATTAATAATTTCTATCAAATGTTCTGATTAATTTTATGAATCTAAATGGTAAGTTTGATATTTAAACCTTTTTCTACGAAAAAAAAGCAGACGGTGCGTTTATTTTATCGGCGCTACCAAAGTAGGTACGTGTTTAAATTTTAATGTGTTTTATGATGAACGCACCACTATGCTGCACCCTCGTTATGGTTTCTCAGATCTGTATGGACACGTATTTATATGGCTTTTATGAAATATTACGATAAAGAATTGTCCAAATATTATAAAGTGTCACCTAGCAATTAATATAGAAAAAAAACCTTGAAGAAGATTATATCGTCAATGAGAACAGTAATCGTATTTGTTATCTGTGTGTTACACGATGTTAGCAAGCGGATTCCGTGAGAATAATTCCCGACTCCCAACTAACATGGGTTAAATGCTTGTATCGGTAGATACCGATCTCAGCCGACCTTCGGTTGGCGCCATAAAAACAAAACATCACTAACAGGACCACTTTCTTCCCTAAATTATTCGATAAATTTACGATGTTCCGACCGACAAAAATGTTATAACCTAATGAGAAATTATCATCAGGGATCACGGTCATCGGCAAAAAACAAAACACGCGTCCAAAGCCTGCTAAGATACTGTGAGACGGATGGTTTATTTAAAATTTTAAATTCAATTTGCCGTTTTCGTATAATCCTTTTTTGTCATCCGATTGTTTTAAACTGAAGTGGCGCGGGAGCCGGCGATGATGTAGCGTTTTCAGCGATTACTTCGCTGTTTATATTTGATGCTTTGTCACCATCGTGTGATACATTGCTGTGTCGCTTGGTACGGGATTTGTCATTGGTTGTAATAGTGGCAATGGATTGTGAGATTCGATAAAAATTCAGAGCTAATCAAGAAAGGGAAGTTCCCTAGTGACGTAGCGATGTGATCTCTCCGTGGCGACGTCTGTCCGGCGCGTGCTTCAGATTCCTGGACCTACGCCCCCAACATCCAGCATTACCCATTACTTACGATGACGTTACGATTTCTTATAAATGACACACATGCTTACGTCACCTAAGCCTTTATTACGTTAAATCATTTATAACAATTACGGACCAACAAACAACGTCGTTTTACAGATATTATGATTTTATAGTAATTGCGTGAAGTGGAATTGAGCAATTTATTTTTATTGGTCACAATTTTTATCCATGATTTTTAGTTTAAATTCTAGTTTGCTTTAATATCCTATGAATTTTTATTTTGATGAGCCTGAGTTCTAACGTTTTTCGTACGTCCCTCCTCATCGTGAGGCCAGCGTCAATAAATCCGAGTGGTGTATAGTTGGGTTAAGTGAAATACTGCTGTCAAATGTTCTGGAGACAGTGAAGAGTGATGAGTTGCTTGGGGGGAAGCGGTTGAGACTCGGGCTGTCATAATCTGATTATTAGTGCTGCGAGTCTGGGCGGGGCGCGCGGCGGGCGGCCGGCGGCTCCGCAGGAGGTCGGCGCCCGCGCATCTCCCGCTCACACTCGCCCTCCGCCCCATCGGACGGAGAGAGATAGAGAACGACCCACGCATCAAGCAGGCGACAAACGACCCGTGGTAAAACAAAAGGAATGCTGGCTGGGACGCTTTGAGGCGCCGGCGCCGCTCCCCGCGCTCTAATCACCCATTTTAATTACTATACAGATCGAATCAATTAATTGTTATTCCTGTTGGTACAAGCGGACCAGGAGTACATTCTATATTCAGGTCTCTGTTCACTAATTAATTGTTTTAACATTTTTGTCAAATAAAATTGTTTATACAAGCTGTCATCGATTAACAATTCTGTCGATGAATCTGCATCGCCAACGATCATCTTCGCTGTACGCCTCGATACAGAGAGCACGGAGCACAAGAGCTCAGACGTTTTTAATTATAAGTTATGATTTTTTCAAGCGAATCCGGGCGCGCCCTTCCTTTCGAAATAACACGAGAATAAATAACTAGTTTTTATGTTGTCTGTTTGTTTTTGAAATGGCGGGAGGTCTGCGCGACGACACGCGAGCGAACTCAGCCGAGCCACCTCGCCCATTTGTCATATTTCGGTTGAGAAAAAAACAAATGACCTATTCTTTAAGGATTTGTTTGTTTGTAGGGCCGTTATTAGGGCGAGTATTATCTACGAATATCGAGCAGATGTAACATGTCACTTAAAACATTGTGGTTTATTATTGTGCTAATGTTTATTTATCTTAAGTTTCATGATCCTACAAAACAATCCACAGCCGCCATATGCGGGACAATACTAACATAAGACTTTCACATACTAATGATAAGTTAATATGCTATCTTGGATAATAGTTACTGGATTGGTTCGTCTCGTTTACAGAAGTGATTAACAACTGTGCACAGGTGGGAAATTTGTGGATGCTACGGATACATAAAGCGAGCTATGGCGGACGATGGAGTGCATTGTTAGCTTCAATACATATGTGCCTCCCAGGTGCGCTCGCACAAACGAACCGCCCAATCTCTGTTTGCATTACCACTCAAACACTCCGGCTGGATAAAGAACTAATACGGGCGTTAAAAGCTACTACTAACCAATTTGTTGCGTTACACAATCAGAACGCGCAACTGTGAAAACTCAATTACATATGAATCAACTGGTATACTATATTAGAAATAAATTAAATATTTTTGAGCCATTTCCTATGGCGCCAGTTACGGCGCCGGCGCGCCCCCGAACTCGTGGGCTTCATTAATACAAAACAAACAAGACTGACCCCGGGCCGAGCGGCCTTAACGAGATTCACTAACGTCTGGATAAAGCGGTAAATTATCAAAATGCGCAGCGCACGGTGGTCCGCAATAAGAAAAAAACGTGTAGCAGATGACAGGAGCGGAGACGAATCTGATGAATCCAGCTAATTATGAGATGGCAAAAACATTTGTCGCCGCAACGTTTATGATAGCTGTTCTGTCAGCCATGTCCTTAAAGATATTGTAAGAGTTTTCCGAATCAATTATTTATGAGTTCCACGATGGATGGATGGATGGATGGCTCACTATTTGTGTAATTCAATTAGACGATTCCCAAGCTAAGTTTCTTGCGATTATTATAATTGCAAAATCATGTACTCAATACATTTTTACAGTAATTATTTTTCATCGTATCTTCAACTAAGAATCAAAGAAATGAATTATTACATATTATTATCAATTCCCCTTTTATTCATACTTTTTGTGTCCATATTGTGTTCTTAATTAAAATTGAAACCGACTATTGCTATTTGACGTATTCCCAAAAAAAATTTGAAAATTTTCAAATGACTTTTATATGAAATAATTCTCGGAATAGAAACATACATATGTACAGGAATTTTTCTGAATATTTCACATTAGGTGCTCGATATGCCTTATTAGAATTAAGCTTAATAAATAATTTTAAAGGCTTTATAGCATGCATATTATGACTCATACATAGCACGAAGGCTTTGAATCTTCTCAGTCGTCACAGGAAACGTCAGAGGCGCTGGGATCGCCACCAACGTATAATTTCCTACCAGAGTTATTGATGACGTGAAAAAAAAACGACTATAATTGAAGGGGTACAGTCGTAAAGCAAACAAGCTTATAATAAGCTGTAATTTGTGCTCGGCCATTTAGAGAAATGCACAAATTGCTGCAGGCAGCTGTTTGTGTCTATGACGGAGGTCCCGGGAATTATTCGTTAACAAGACCCCGCGTCAGATTCGGCAGCACTAATGGCTTTTCGTTAAGTTTTTGTGGCTATTGTTTATGGCGGATAAACAGCTTGCTTTGTAATTAAAAAATGTTTACAACTGTCCCGTGTGTGGCTTGATTTACTTTTAATTTTGTTACATATATACCTACTAACTTGATTAATACATATATATTTTTTGTATGTTAAAGTTCAGTAGCAAAAATATTCATATTTATCGACGTTTTAATATATAATTGTTAATAAATAATAAATTTAATAGCGTGTCTTAAAAATATTTCATATTATATCTATATTTGTGTTCCAAATTGATAAAGATCTGATGTATATAAAAATAAAATATGTTTTTATTATATATAAGTGTAGAAATATAATAATGTGTACATTAAAATTCTTTATATTAATAAATATTAGCAATGTAGTGGAGCTCACATTTTTATAAATATACTAAAAATAAAACATTATTCTCATAATTTAATCATAATTTTAAATTTTTATATAAATAAAAAAATATATAATATATTTGTTATGCTCAAATCTATAGAATTATATTATAATATTTAAAACAATGGCTTAATATTAAGTTGTTATAAATATTATGTTTGGAATTATTTCAATATCAATATGGTAAATAATATATTACTGACCTGCCACCTTTAGTGATGATCATCTCTGTTCCTATATCATGGAACCGTCTCCACAGATCACCGTTGAGAAGGCGGCCCTCGCACGACGGAGGCTCAGCAGACAGACTCACGCGAGGCTCTATGATTATATACATAATATTTATTATATGACAAAGATTACCTAAGTAATATTTAAATATTGTTGTGACATTAATACTAATAACAAAGATTACCTGAGTAATATTTTAACAATATTTATTTTAATGACATTAATATTCATTATAAATATTACCTAGGTAATATTTTATAATAAAAGACTTTTCTTTATAAGTACGCTTAGTACAAGTTTGTATCACACTACGTAGTAAACTTTTCGATTTTCATGTCATAAATTGCGTGAATAAATGAAATAATGTAAGGATAATGAAAACTTTTAAATCCTTCGCATGTGTAATAGAAACTAGAAGTAAGCTTATTGACTTTCTTAAAAATATATAAGTAGTAGCTACTAACTGAAATAATAATTATAATACTATATAATATATTAGAAGTAATAGTAACTTTTTCTTTATAACAAAATAAAGACGTAAAATAAAATTTATATACCTACTATGTGTTTTTTTAGAAATATAATCATATTTTATCAATAGATATTAAAATTGTATCAACCGATGAGTTTAACGATGAGAATTGATTTAATAACGAATCAAAATGCACATTTTAAATTTAAAATCTCCCAGTAATAAATCGTTCATTTTATAAATATTAAATATTCGGATTTGAATATTATTTATAGTTTGAATATTTAGTTAATCTTTTATTTCCGCGTATAAAATTTTGTTTTTCATATTAAAATTTGTTAGAAAATTTAATAATAGGCACAGTTATTATAAAACATAAAGATTTAATCTATCCAGTGGTTACTTTGATTGACTCATGTCTCATAAAGTATGGAAATATTATTTTAAGACTATTTTTTGTTTTAATACCTATATAAAAATATATCTTCATAAGTACCTATATGAAATAAAAAACTTATTGAAGCGATTTATAATTTTAAAATAGTACCTAAATTTCGAGTAAATACCTATCATTAAGTATCCCACAAATTTTATTATTAAAAGTATATATTAAAACAAATCTCTACATATCAATATACATATATATATATATATATATATGTATATTATATATGGAAATACTTGTTACAGTAGATCTATTCCGTTCTTTCTTTCTGTTTTTAGTTAATACGGCAAGTATAAAATTAAGATTTGTAGGCTGAAGCGCAACTAATATTTAAATAATATTTTGATGAAAGATTAAAAGCTGATTGTGATGTAATTATTTGAAAAAAAAAGATGACGTCATCAGCAAACAAATGTTGGAACGGTCAATAGTTATTATAATAACGGGGCAATTTAAAAACTATTTTGTTTGTTTGATTGTATTCAGTAACAGTTATCCCATTATATATAATATGTAATGTATGTAGTTCTTTTAATATATTTTATCTTTTAATGTTTAAAAGCTAAATTCTTTCTCTATACATAAAGATAGCTTTAAAATGTGTTTCAATAATTACTTTAATAATAAAATAATATTTATTCAAAATCAAGGTACTCATGTGAATGAACGGATATAATTAATTTTCCTATATATTTCGACAATTCGTTTAATATCAATAAGTTAATGAGTTACATCAGACAGCTTTATATATTTATTTTGATATGTATGAAAAAGCTTTTATATGTAACAGAGACCACTAAATATCCATTTAAAAATGATTAACCATCAGTTCATTGTAAAGACATCAACGCGTGCGTCGTCATCTATTTTATAAAAATATCTAATAAAAAAAAGTTCGTTTTTTTTCTTATAATTTATTTAAAATTCTTCAATTTCGGTTTGACAATACTAGATGTGTTTATTAATGTTATATTTTGTGTTAAACGCGTTATAAGAAAACTTATTTATTTGTAATACACGAACCGGTAGCACCTTAAGGTCAAACAAACATTATTTATCTTAAAATACAATAACATTGACAATGACAGTTCTGTTAATAGTTTATACAACTACCCTCTTAATGACTTATAGTTAATATTATTTAATAAACATATTAACAAAATCTCATACAGATTATGACCGTTTCTGACACATTATAATATATAATGACTGACTATTTTTATATATAATTAAACAAAAATATTGTCAATAATATATTCTTCATTATCATTTATCTATTATATACTCACGTAGTCCACCAAGAGACGCCGCGTGTAGCATCTGCTGTCTTAATAAATATTCACCGAAATGCGTTTGATCCATCATCATTATACACTACACTGTTACACTATTAATAAACAGTCAATAGTTATATTATCTATATATTAATACATATTTTGATTAAAACAATTTAAAACACATCCGTCCGCGGCCACGGCTGCGTGTGTACTGATGTAGGATCGTCGTACGGGCGGCGCGTGCGCAGGACCGCGCCCCGAATAGCCATTGGCTGGAGCTTGGCTAATGGCGGCGAAGCCTTCAATACTGGTATACGGCAGGTGGACACAAATGTAGGCTCTGTATGACCATTGTTAGGTAAATAGGTTTATTTCAATTTTATTTTTATTTATATATGTATTTATATTATTCTTGATCGTTGAGTATATAATTGTAATTTTTTACTGTCAGATACTTTTATGTATATTTTATGTCTAAAAAAATTGTTACAAAAATTGCCATTATTTTTCCTTTAAAGAAAACTTAAAGGTATTGTTATAAAGCTTTAAATATTTTTTCTATAAATAAATGAAAATAATTTTAAGCCTAACGTAAACTTGTATGTAAGTTTACTTAAATTAAAATTGCCTTAGAAATATCCTACGCATCAAATAAAATTCAAATTATATATTACTAGCTTTCCGCCCGCACCTTCGCCCGCGTGGAGTTCGGTTATATCGCGTTTCCAAGAGAACCTTTCAAAAGTCGTGGATAAAAACTATCCTATGTTCTTTTTCAAGGTGAACTCTATCTCTGTACCAAATTTCATTAAAATCACTTCAGTAGTTTAGGCGTAAAAGCGTAACAGACAGACAGACTGAGTTACTTTCGCATTTATAATATTAGTGGGGATTCATATATTTTCATGTTAATAAAAAATTTTGTTAGTTTACAAAATCAACAGAGAATAAAACAACAGAATAAAACTATTTTTATTGTTATACTGATTGTGTATTAGGATAAAATTGGCTTATAACTAAATGTAGATAAATCTAGCTATCAGAGGCTAAATGAAATGTATGAAAATGAACAAAACTAACTGAATTATCGTTTATTGTAACTAATACGATGAGCATGAATAAAAAATAAAAAAAAGGTTAAAATAAACTTCGCATACATAAGTAGGTACAAATGTACTTATGTATGCGAAGTTATATGTACTTCTTTGGCGTATAGAAAAAAATCTAAATTTAACAAATAGTTAATTTCAAAGGTATAAAAACTCAGCATTCAAATTTAATTTAAACAAGTATGTATTGAAAATTAATTATTTATTTTCAAACAGACACTCACATCTCGTCTGCCCGTGATCACGGTTGCTGTAAAGTAACCGAAACGTAATATGTAGTTTTTATCAAAAATAAACTCGCGTAGTATATCCGCAAAATATTAGTTTCATTTAAATGACTCGTGAAAATCTGAGATCTCATTATTATTTTTTAATTATACATAAAAGTTGTTGATATACCAAACCAAAAATGAAATAAAATAAAAAAAGTCGTACGATCTCCTTCAATACGTCATCTTTAAGGCTTAGTGTACATGACATGTTAAGGCACTTCATTCGCGTATTTGTTATATTCGGCTAAATAAGACCATGTGTGGACGATTTATTCGTCTACATTTGACATATTTGCACAAATAAGCGAAAGGGCGTAAACACGTATTGTTCGCATGCCAAGTGTGGATGTCATGTTTGCATTATTTGGACTACATACAAATATTTGGACAAATTCGGCGAACACGCATCGCCAAGTGAAGTGCCACCTTTAATGAATACCATCTGCTTTGTACACAGAAATCTTAATATGCAAGAATGTTCACATGTTTTGTATAACCATTAAAAACTCCGCCATATATATATTTATTTAAATACTTTATATTTTATATGGAAATATATCTATTATACTTGTATATGACATTCTTACAAGCTATTAATTCTTTCCGACATTTACAACCCTTCGACTAATGATCGTAGATATAGCGATTACAATTAATATTGATGGGAATAAATAATAATACTATACCGTTTTATTTATTACTTATAAATAGGAGAAACTATTAAAAAACACGTTAATAAAATCTCCTATGGACAGTCATTTATTCATAAATATATGTATATATATTTAATTTATTATAAAACATACTCACTTTAACAACTCAATCATGTAAAATGGTACTGCTAATGAAAAATTCATACGGAGAATTGAATTTATTACAAAAAAAAAAGCCATCCTTACAGCATTAAAACAAAGATAGTTATAAATCTAACAAACGTGGCGGACATGCCTTTAAGAATGCGTTCCGTTGTCCTAAATAGTTTTTATCGGTTATCATTTGTAAAGTCGATGCGATAACATCACTATTCTTGTATCGAACGGGAATGCGATTCGAATCGGTAACAGAAAAACCGATCAGATGTACCAGAACCGGCTGATGGTTTACTAAGAATCGAATCACTTTAAGGTCAAATATAGGCATCAATTACTATAATGTATCATAAAATTTTACTCTCAATCTTTTTTGAGTTTATTTTGACTCAAGCGACAAAGCAATTGACGGCGGACACATAACAGAGCGTTGTCACCAATTATTCAATGAAACGATAAAATGTTCGCGGTCGCCGTTTAACCCTTTACTTATTATACCTTAATCACTGAACGAGCATTACAAACATCACAATGGGAAGGCTCCGGAGAATTAATTAAACGCATGTTATCGGCGACCGCTTTGTTACCGAATTGAGTATTAATAAAAAGCTTTTAAAACGTGAGACGGCGTAATAAGATTAAAAGTTAATAATTAGCGATACATTTGAGCATATCTAAAGAATGTTGGGAAGTCATTAAGGAAGTATGCAGAAACCTGGTGGAGTCCATCCGGTGATTAGGTCAGGGGTGAGTAAGACGACACAAAAGAGTTGCAACCGATAAGGTTCTATTACATAGAAATGATAAGAGACAGATATCAAAATAAAGTCATCGATGAATGTTCACATTACTTAATATGTTCTAGTTTTATAAAGGGAAAATGACTTTGAAATTTACTTATCTGTCTGAAAGTAGGTTGGTAAGTATATTCATTTAAATAAAACAATATTTTCAGATTCACTACGCATTTTTTGTTATTTTAAACTACATACTCTCGAAGTTTCAATAACTTGGCATCAACCGTGATCACGGGTAAACAAAATAAAAATATTAGTTTCATTGAAAATTTAAATGAATACTCGCAAAAGCCTTAGACATTAATGGATGGGAATATTTATTTAGAGATGTAGATAGGTATATACATCTTAAATATAAACCAAAATATTTTAAAATCCTATTTGATTTGACGGTTAAATTTAGAAAGATTTGAAATACATTATTTTGAAATATAATATAATTTTTTTTCTTAGATAATAATTAACATTCGGCATAAAATATTTTATAAATTTAGAGCATTTTTCTTTACATATGTATATTCTTGGAGATTGTATCTGATGCCGTCATATTATTATTGATATGGCTCAAGTGGTGATAACTATCCCTTTCACAAAGATCTAGCTTTAGTAGGAGGTTGTATTCAGTATCTAAATACAGACAGTTTCCAATTTGTCCTTCATAAAAATCCCCACGATTACACTTACAAAATAAAAAATAACAAAGAAAAAATAGAATTAGGCTGCGACGTAGACCCGCGTCAATACATAAATCAAAGAAAGTTAAGTAATCCAATAAATCTAAAATAATAAGGCAATATCAAATTCACGGCGTCACAAACTAAAAAAAAATAATAATAGAGTTTTATTACTTTAGTTCGTTTTTCACAAAATGTTAATTTAGGCATATGTTTCAAATAATATAATCATAAACATGACAAAAAATTCTTAGCATTCATTGGATTCACCGTGCGGGTGGCGGGTCCATCGTTACAGGGAGAGGAGCTTCAATAGTGCTGTAAACTTGCGACCCAGGTGTAGGCATAGCTATTTAATAAAAATATTTAAGAAAACAGGAATAAATTACCAGTAAAATAAAATTATTTGTTTTAATTTGTTATTGATACTGATTAAAAAAGTTATTCCAACATTATCATTACATGAAAGCAATTAAAAATATTTCCCTTCAGGCAAAATTGATCCTGTAATATATAGTAATAAATTTTATAGTAATAAGTGTATTAAAAAGTACCTAATAAGTTTATTAATATTAAAAATATTACCATCATATTCTTTTTAGGTATTTAATAATAACTACTTATTTTTCTACTATCTAAACTTTTAGTGACCTTTTGTATTACATGTACCTAGTATAAATAATTTTACAAATTAAAAGAAATAGTATTAGAATGTTTCTAACTATCAATTTTCTCACAACGTTATAAGATAGATAAATAGATAATGAGATAGATTAATAGATATCTATAAAGATAAAATGACACATTTTTAATAACTGACACAGCAATGCAAACTACTTGATGTATTTCAACAATTACTCTTACTTTTATATGTAGGTATGAAAAAAATATAATCTTAATAATTTTTTTCACTTAGTCGAAATCTGTTAATATATCAGTAAAACCAGACAAAGTCGTAGGTATCAACAATATGTATATGTATATATAATTTTGGTGTTTTATTTAAAATGTTATGACAAACATAACTACCTAAAGCAAGTCGATTGGAATGTGAACAGGTTATTGGGTAAAAGATAATAAAAAAATATGCAGTGAAAAAAGCTGGTAACAAAATAGTTCCTAATTAAAAACCCTTCGAGTTATAGTTAGAAACTACATATTGAATTAGTTGTTAATAAAGTTCTTAAGCTTATATGTAGTTCTCTGTTTCCAGTACATACTTATACAGTAGGTGTAAGTATATAAGGCCTTGGAAATTATATATAAAACAGCCATACAGCCTTACTAAATGTATCACAAAGAAAACTACCTTTTATCAAACATATTACATCTTTTATTTATGTTCAGTCCTTTGATTTAAAACTTTCCTTATTTTATTGTTTTGAACCTAATTAATAATAAGTCAAAAAATATTATAAAACCGGAACCGT